GCAGACTCTTCGAAGTTGGTGCGACTAGAGCACCAAGCGATGATGTCTTTTGTATGCGACTGTTTTGCTATGTGAAGCGTTTGTTGGTGGCAGAGCTGAGTAGGTCGGACGCAATGTGCAATGGTGACGGTGTGTGCGGCGGATTGCCGAGAAGGTGGTGGAGACTGGACCCCTTTGCATTCACAGTGGATGGGTGGGCGGACGGGCAGGCGGGCAGGCAGGCAGGCAGGCAGGCAGGCAGGCAGGCAGGCAGGTGAGAAGTTGCTCGCGCTTCAGATTTTGGCTCAACTTCCTGCCGTCCAAGCGGCGGCAAGTCGTGCGCTGACTGGCTTGCGCTCCGAACGCTAGCATGATGTGAACGCTTGCTGCTGAGCGCTTCATCCATCAAGCCTACGCGCGGGCTTGCGCCTCGTTCGTGATTCTGCAATAAAATTTGTCCATGCAGCATGCAGCAGGAAGACTGAAATTTTTAGAGCACGTGAGCCGTCTGACAATTCACAAGAAAAGGCACAACAGCCAATTTTGAATCTTAGCGCGAGCAGCACAAAAGTCAGGCGAGGCTGCATGCATGCATGGCATCAGGCACTCACGAGTCGCGACTCACGACTCTTAGCAGCTGCGTCGCAGCAGTATGATGAGTATATGCACCTCTTCTCTCCGCATGGCGCAGGAGCAGTCTGACGTGCTCACGAGATCTGGTCAGAAACTCTGCAGCTGCTGTCGTCGACCTCGGCACACACGGCGAAGATCAAAGTTGAGGGCGGGCGGCCTTGCTAGCTTCGACGCGACATCTTGTCTTATTCCGCGCGCTTGCGCAAGACGATCACTTCCATGCCACCAGTCACGACCGAGCGAGCCAGGTGCGGGAGGCACACTCCCTACTTTTCTTACTTCGAGCTTCGTGTCGACGAGAGCGTGGTCGGTGCCCGGCACAACGCAGTTGCACGCCATCCGCCTAGCAGAAAGCGGAGCTCACTTCCATGGGTCGGATTCAAATGACTCGAATTCAAGAGGATGTATGACTCGACTATGCAGAATACCTAAGCTTCGGATCATTCTCATGCCGTGGAGCTGGACGACAGCTACTCTACAGTGGGAGGTCGCTTGATGAAGAGGGCTCGAAGAGAGAGAAGGAGCGTGAGGGGGTGGAAGAACACACTGCTGTTTTGCCTGACACCACTTGGCGCAAAAGAAGTGCTGAGCAACACGTTCCCGGTCAATGGTTCAGCATGTCAGCATCAGCTATGATCTTGGGAGCGTCCGCAAGTTCGATCGCATCCGTGCTAAGCTCTTCAAGCCGTTCCCGATCCGTTTCAAGGCCTCCAGAAAGCACGGCCTGGACTTCGATGTTGTCTGACTCGAGAACAGTGTTGTTCTCGTCGTTGTTGACGACTTGCAAGCCCAGAGAACGGCATAGTTGGGCCGAAGTATCCGAGACGCCTTCACTCGCGCCTTGCTGATCAGAATCCGACGTCGGGTCGGAGTTCGCAACGACAATGAATGATACAGAACTGTCATAGAACTGGCAGTGATCCAAGCAATTGTCTAAGAATGCAGTCGCGGCCTTAGCACGGCCAAAGCCTACTGTGGTGCTGAGAACAGGGCCACATTCCATGTTAGCGGGTACACTTGCAAGCTTCAGCACCTCAGCAACTCACAATTGAGCTGCACTAGACGGCTGCGGTGCCAGCCCGCACCAGCAACAAAGGGTCGCAATGTCCAAAAAGAGGCTTGTGATGAGTCGCACGGACGAGACGGCTTTTTGCTGTTGTGGTATTGTCGCGGCCGTCGCGTTTGGTCTCATGCTTGGTTCCGCTAGCAGACCTAGTATGCCCAGGATAAGCGCGTCTTGTGGTGTCAGTCCTGACCTTGAAACGCGCGCATTGCCAAACTTCAGACTCACTGCAAGCCTCCACTGGAGGCACTGGACTTTTGCCGCGCTGCTCAGGTGGCGATGTCCGTCCTTTCGCCCATTGCAAAGATACTGGGAGTAAGGTGGTGTGACAGAGGTGCAAAATTCCGGTCTATCGGACGACTTTCGCAGTCAGCGCCAGACCCATGTCACTGAAATATCACGACGCCAAACGCACCTTCAAAAGCTTGTGCCGGTCGCACACGGGAACGTCCTGCTTGAAAAGGCTGCCAAGGTCCTTTGGAGCTCGAGACTTCGTTGCCTTGTGAGCAAAAGGTGGATCACGTGGAGTTTCCGAATTGATAGACCTCGTTGCAGCTTTGGTAATCAGGTCCGCTGCCTCGTCAATGAGCAGATTATACTTCTGACAGAACGGAGCATTAGCGCAATTCGTCGGACGGTCTCGGCGCTCAGGGATAAGGCTCACGTTGCACAGGAGAGCCGCAAGCTCCAGTTGACGCACTGGCGGAAACTCTCCCCCTTCGATCGCGGCGTGCTCCCTCGCACCGTTTGGCAGAGCTGGGCTTATGGACCTCAAAGTAAAGGATGACGTGTGGCCACTTCGGTCCGCCTTGCGCGACCTTCGAGCTTCGCTCGACGATTCCATGCGCTCCAATAGGGAGCCGTTGCAGAATTGGCCGGCGCTTCGAGACTTGCGGTGCTCCAAAGTCAACGGCTCGTCTTCTGCGGCGCGATCGCGTGTAGCAAGCGGCCTCACAGAGCTATGTTCCGTGGAGGGTGCCGGAGCAGGCAAGCGCGACGTTTGATGCTTGCTCGTCTGCAGTCTTGAAGCGTCATCTTCCTCGATGCAGGAAGATCTGCGTCGGGTTGGTCGACCGGCTACATGTCCATTCAGCTTCGACTCCACGCTCGGTCTCTTCGTGGAAGGTGGCGGTGTCAAACCGACAGGCTCTTCGTGCCAACCGTCTACTTTGCCAAGCTGCTGAGCACGCGCCGTCCGATCTTTTTCCAGGCACGTTACAAGAGTGTGATCACCATCAAGTGCTGCGGCATCAGTCAAGAGGCAACCACTTGACACTAGTGGGACATCGCGAGCCAAGACGATTTTCGAATGTGGGGCTTCGCCCCACGTACCGTCTCGCCAGAGGTTAATAGAATATCCACAGTGCTCATGTCTGACGGGAGCAAGGCCGCAAGGGACAGTGGTGATGCCTAAGCCGAGATTCTTCGACTCCGGGCATTCTTTCGTATCACCTTGACGAGCCGTTGAGCCAATGAGTGTTGTTGCGGATGTGGATAAGCTGGAGTGCATCGTGGAGCTCGCGGAGGAAGCTGTGTCAGGGCTACATGTTAGGCTGGAAGAGGCTTGCGACACGTCGCTCGCAAGAGACTTCTTGAAGACTGTCCTCTGTGGCGACTCGTTTCCTCCGTCAGAGGTGTGAGGGCGAGCCCGTTTACCGAAAGCTCCAACGCCCGTTTGCAACGACTGTGCAGAGCTGGACCGAACAGGGAACCGTCGAAGAGGCCGGTCTTTCATGTCGCATGCCGCATCTGGCAGAAGACCGTGGTGAAAGGAAGTGCGATCCTTGCCCAAGAGATTGTCGTCGGATGCATATCTTGCCGTTTGTAAAAAAAGGGGAGCGTCGGAGCGGGGGAATGCACGCTTCGATATAGGAGGGCAGGAGTCTGAGACACCCAAGCGCCGATTGTCTGCACCCATGTCTTCACGGGTATTGTGGTGACTAGTAACCTCTCGCGAAGGAAGCTGGTGTCGAACGAACGCGATCGCTCGTCGTATAGTCTCGCGCCGGTCCTTGTTGCTGTGGTCACGCTGATGACAAGGCGCGTCCACGTCACTTGTCGCCTCATCAAACGAGTCCGAACGCTGAAACAAGCTAGCTGGTGATACGACATGGCGGTCAGAAGGCATGTAGCGCACACCCACTGAAGGGCTAAATACGCTCATGTCGTTGGCGAACTTCCTATGACTTCGAGCAGCTAAGAACAGGTTGGCCAGGGCCAATGGTACACGATCCGAGATCGCTTCAATGTCCCTTCTGACGTGGTGAATCAGATTGCGAGCAGGGACGCGCCGCTAGCCAGAGCTGAGAATGATCAGTGAGAAGAAAAGAGCGCGCGCAATAGCATGACGTGATTGCGGAGGGTGAGAGTTGGAGGCGGTCCTTCTTATGTATCCGTGGGCCGTACGGGCGGCGAAGTGAAGCATCCTTAACGTACAATCAGACCCAAAAAGGCAAGGGAGTGGGCGAATGGAAAGCTTCCTGGGGCCAGAGTGTTCTCCGGACCAGAGGCTCGTGCTTTGACACGCACCCAGCGTTGGGATCCGAGCGGCGAGCCGTGCGCACTTATGTGGAATGATGCCATCGGGTCGCGATCGCAACTTGAGGAAGTAGACCTCGACAAGCTGGGCATCGCGTGGGACGTAGCACCTCCTGACCGCGTGCAGATTGCGCGTCCGAGTAAGTAATCGGGGAGGATGAGGCTAACGCCGAGTGGGGGGCCGTGCGTCGCATGCAATTGCGACGAGGCCAAAGCGCGCGTCTTTTCTAGAAGAATACAAACACCAGCCAAGCGCATGTGGGGCCAGCTGGGAGACGTGAGCCGTCTCAAAGTCCAGGAGATGGTCACATTTCGCCTCTCGACTTCGGGGGGCTCAGAGCTGGCCTTGCTGGGCGCACCGAGACGCGTGAGCATTAGAGTTCAGGTTCATCGAAAGGCTTGCCTGCGCTGCTGCATCAAGTGAGCCCGCGTTGTTCCATTCTGATTCTACGCCGCCATTTGGTCGGTTTGGACAGACGCCTTCACCGAAGGAGCCGAGCGTTGTGTGTTGTCTACTCCCACTCCGACTGACAGCCCGGTCGCTGCAACCGTGTGCGCCTCTTCCGCAGCCCTCTTGGCGCTGCGTTTGTGCTGTTTACTTGCGAGATGCGATTCTCGATCTTTGTCGGTAGGGAAATGACGATCGCATTGGATGCAGTAGAACAATCCGAGACCAGGTTTGTCCACATCCAAGTTGCTCGGATTCAGCAAGGCTGCCGTCTTCTCGCTCGAGCGCAAATTGTCGCTGATTTGATCGGCATCAAGCTTGCGCGCACGAGTGCGCATGGCTCTTTGAATGTCTGAGCAGTTCCAGTAGGCAGGAGGGGAGATTAATGTCAGTCGCAGTGTCCGGCTGGGCAAGCAGGCCGCATAGGAGCGCAATCCGCTCACCTCGACGACCATGGTGGGATCTTTTGCGCGCGTAGGGCATTCTGACTCCTAGAAGATGTGGCGAACGGGAGTGGTGCAGCGGTGGTATACTTGGAGAAAGTAGCTGGTGGCTGTCGAGCAATATATAGTGCTGGATGGAATGCTATCAGAGCAGAGGCGGTGGCCATCAGTCGTGACTTGGGTGAAGGTCGCTTGTCCGACACCACGCATGCAGACAGGGATGCAGCGTTCGTGGTTGGAGCCACCAGATCACGAGAATGAATCAAGCTCATCGAGATGAAGATGACCATAGGGCTTAGCCGATTCTCGACCACGTGGCTGCATGCAGTCGCGGTCCAGTGATCAAGATGGAGTGGGGCGCATACGCGTTACGCAGATCTGCGCCTACTAAGGGACCGGTCACCCACGTGGCTATCGTAACGCATGCGCGCCCGCAGCTGTGAAGTCCAGAAATCACGCATCGAGTCGAGCCGAATCCAGGCTTCTAGGACAGCTCACAGCCACCCATGCTCTCTTTCACGACCACAAACCTATCGACATCTCGGCCTTTCAGACAATTTCTTCAAGATGGTAAGCATCTTTCGCCAGATCAAAGGTGGTAGTCTGAGCACGAAGGGAAGAGGTGTCAGCGATGAGCAGAGGCAGGGAGCATGCGCAGTTCGATTGGCACCTTGAGCCATTTTCTGGTCATCGATGGACGCGCCAGGACGATGCGACAGCGAGGGCGTATGGCGCTGCATGGACAGGGATGATTAAAAGTGTAGACGCCCTAGCTCACGATGCCAACATCGGGATGGAGTCATACCTGGAATAATTTACCCGCACTCGCCCCAGTCTGTTTACCACGGCGTCTCGAACCACTTGCTAACGCACGCAGTTGCCGCATCTTTATCCACAGACTCGTCTTTACACTAAGGGTCGTATTTTGGGTCACAAGCGCGGCAAGAACGTCGCCAGTGAGCACACATCTCTCGTCAAGCTCGAGGGTGTTGCGGACCAGAAGGAGGCTCAGTTCTACTTGGGCAAGGTGAGTCTTAGGAGAAATGGAAGCTCTGCGAAGCGGTGCTGGCTGCAGATTCCAGCTAGCACTCGTTGCAACTGGTGGTCACTAGCAGGGATTCAATCGATTAGCAGATTGGAAGGAGGGACGCACAAGAGAGACACGTGCGTAGGAGCGCCAGCCACATGGTGCTTATGTTGCTGCTGGACCTGCCCGAAACCAAGTGTGGAGAACGGGGGAGCACGGGATTTGTGCTCGCATCTCTTCTATGCTACTTGCTTCGAGCTCCAGTTGACGATCCATGCCCCATCATACTCCACAGCGAGTTGCGTACGTTTACAGAGCGCACAAGGAGGTCAGAGGCTCCAAGGTCCGCGTGATCTGGGGTCGCGTTACCAGGCCTCATGGCAACTCTGGCGTTGTCAGGGCTAAGTTCCGCACCAACATTCCTCCCAAGGCGTTCGGCGCTGTGGTTCGCGTCATGCTGTACCCCTCTCGCGGTGAGCATCCCCTTGCCGTTTCTGAATACATCGGCATCCTGAAGTTATCCACAAGCGGAGCGCTGACTTCAGACCCTGTCCCATGGTAACAGTCTAAGCTTTGCACACCTCGAATGCAAATCACTCCAGTCTCGCAGCCTTCTTCCCGCATCCCCCAAGCACGCAAGCTCTTCACACCATGACACGGCCGACAAGCTGACGTATCAAACCTCAGCTCGTCCGGCCTTCGCGTCCGGAGTTGGTCCGACGAGAGGACGCTTCGGCGCGATACTGTAACACCTCGGCTATGGAAGCACACGAGTGCGACCTGGTCACAATGGCGTCACCTGGCGCAATCATATAGCAAAAGCCAGAAAGCTCGAGCGTGAGACGGGTGATGATCACCGATCAGCTGATGATGGGCGTATCTGCGGCTAGAGCGCGTGCGGGCACGCGGCTCGGCTTTAGTAGATCTAAGTCTGGGCGTCGTCCGACGTACTGCATTCGGAGGTTCGTTGCGAGACTTGACAGGGTTGTAGGATAATTGCCCCTCCTTACCGGAACGAGGCTCGCCAAGGCGCCCCAGCGAAGCGCAGGCCCGAGCTGTGACGACTCGTTCGTCATCCCGTTCTTATCTGGTCGCGCGTCTTTTATACCTCGTGACACGTGCACCTAAACTAGCGGGAGATATCCAACACCCCTCGTTTGCGTTCTCTGGAACGAAACGAGGTCGTTTGCGTTCTCTGGAACGAAACGAGGGGGCCAGAGCCAATTTAACGAACACCTTCCCCCTTGTGGAGGGGGAGGGTCATTCTCGCGTCTTGCTGCCATTTCGATGCCGGACCGCATGCGGTTTGGAATTTTTTTGGTGGCAAAAGGTGGCAGACTGCTGGAGATTGACCGTCGTTGAGGGTCCTACATTTGATGAACTTGGGTCTTGCGTCTTCCGTCGCTCTGCTGTTTCGCACACGAAAGTGTATCTTCAGTTTTTCCTGCTCGCCCGGGTGCTACCTCCCTTTCGCATGTTGGTCGTGGGTGCTGAGGCCTTTGCACGGATGGTGTGAATTGCTAGCGCGCGTCAAAGCTTCTCTCTGCCATGTCCTCACATCAAACGTTCGCATACTGCAGTCGCCGCATGCGACGCGCGGTGAACCACACACAGAAAAGGCCATTGGACTATGTGCACACTCAAAGAGTTGCGACGGGGACAGCTTCGTTTGTGGCTGGAATTTATACAGCATCGCACTCTTGACTGGCTGGCTGATCATGGGATGGATGCTTCAGCTCGGGAGCGCGGTTCTCGGGTGGTTCTAGTCTGTCTGTATTGAAACCAAGGGTACAGTAAGAGAGAAGGAGCGGAATGACGCTAATGACGATGGTAGAGGTTACAGTTACAAATGTGTGGAGAGATCTGGAACGATTCGACTTGGACATGTGAGGGTGCCAATTCCCCAAAAAAAAAACAAGAAGAATCAAAGTTGGCGTGGGTGCGAGGCTCGAGTTGAAGGTATGGTCCTGGTCATTGGCAAAATGCCAAACACTGGTCAGCACCGTATTGACATGCTGCAAGGTGCGCTTTCCGAACTCCCGTAAAACGCAAACGTATGTGCAGAAGGAGGGATCCTACTCACAAGATCAAGCTCTTTGGTTGCGTCTCGAACGTCCAGTGGTGAAACCTCTAAAGAGTCCCATCCCCGCGCCCTCGCTCTTGGCCCTGGCGTGTCTAGATGTGGCAGCAGGTGCGGGAGGTTTGATTTGCGGAGCCGCCGAGGCAGCTGGCAGTGGAGAAATCTTGGCCAAAGGGCTGCTGCTCAAACCACCAGTGGGAGGAGATCTGCTGGCGCGATCCAACTTTGCTCTTTCGATGTTGTCCCTCTCTGCTTGCCACATTGCGCGCGTGTGAGCCAAGACGGACGCTGCATATACCTTCGCTTCTCGTTCTTGCTCTGGTGTTCGAAGCGCTTGATCATTGCCCCAACCATCGTGCGAAGAGGAGGAGGAGGAGGAGGAAAATCGACTGGTGGGTGAGGTGAAACAGTCTGATGCGCTGGTTGGAGAAGATATGGACGGGTGGACAAAGGCCGCGCCGCCAATGGGCACAACAGCGTGCAGCATGATTGACGCTTGCCTACTTGGAGAGTGTATTTGCTAGATCGATGGATGGATGCGCACGATCCGCTTCGCTCCTCAAAGGAGAGTGTCGGTCGGTCAAGTATGCAGAGATGGAAGGATGTGGGTGAAGGGAGGAAGATGAAGGGGGCATCTTCCCTTGATGATACCCTTATACGACTTCCAGACGTCTGTCTAGTCGTCATTCACCAATCAATTCGATCACGAATCTGCTCTGCGGAACAACGCTCCGGCTCAACGCGGTTGGCCAAGACCTTGAACGCCATCCCATGCTGGGCAATTCAGTCTCCCGTTTCTTGCTGCGTCCGGAAGCTGCAGCCGCTCGACGCAGCTCGCTGCATAAATGTCAAGTGCCGGCTCTTCTGCACGCTTCAGACCAATGAATGCGTCTTGATCGGACTCTCAAACCGCGGCATCCTTGATCGGGATTGTAAAGATGCGTGCGTTCATGCCACGGCGTAGAGTCAAGCTGTCTTTTTATTTTTACGTGTGGAGGAAGGCGGGCAGGGGCAAAAGCAGAGGCAGAGGCAGAGGCAGAGAGGCACAAGCAAAATCAAGAGCAGACGCCGTATGAGTCACACTACTGCTGCGATCGAGGTGCGTGTCGGCCGTACAGCCGAGCTGTGTGGTCAGCCCATGCAGCATGAGCACTCACGACTCCGACTCAAATTACGATCGACTGCTGCGTTACCCCGCCAAAAGAGGCACGCGCGGCACGAAACATCGCAGCTTTTAACACGCGAATCGCCGTGTCCGGCGAGGGGCATTCGCGTCTCGGCGCGGTGCCTGGCATCTCTCCCACAAAGTCGAGTTTGAGTGTGACTCGGGAGTGTTGCAGCATATGCATGCATGCACTCATCAGACCAGCATCCTTTTGATGTACAGTATAGCTGCCTGCAGCTTCATCAGTAGCCGAGCACCAAGTCGCCGTAGGATGACGTCCGCCCACGTAAATAGAGCAACTTCTGAACAGTTGAAACGCTGTTCGGGAACCACGAGCAATCAGAAGTCGCATCCACAGCTACGGTTGCTGGCTCCTGAGGCAGATCTCGCATGTAGTCGTGGGCCTATCGCGATGGGTCTGCTCAAGTGTAGAAGAACATGTCACCGCTGACATTCGCTCGCGTACAGTGGCTCAGACTTGTGCAAGAAGCAATTGGAAAAAAGTGTGATGGGGCTGAAGCCAGCAAGGGGAGGGGAGTAGCGAGACAGACGAGCAGACTAGCACAGCAGCTGCATGGAAGTTGCATGCTGGACGAGATCCAAATGAGCAAAGTGTCGCTCGTAATGGCGCCGGGATCATGTATGCAACCTGCTACTCACACTCACGACTGTTGTACTCGTTACTGTACATGTACCTACAGTACAGCGAATATGCCATCTGCAGGCTCACCTTTCCGTTGCTTGCCTTGCACATCGCGATTGTTGTCGGATCTCCAATTGACGGCAGCGCAGCTTTAATCGCAACACACATCGTAGCTTGACGCACGACTGCAGAAACGAGTGCTGGCATGTCGCCTGACCAGCTAGCTCATCACCAGGATGATGGTCTGTCTTCGCAGCCGTGCTTGCCAAGCATTGACACTTGGTGTAGCAGCGGTGTCTTGACGGGTGTGGCTTTCCGCCGTCATGTGAGCGCAAAGCTTGGCATTGCCCGCACGCGCGCACTACATGTATAGTGCGAGTGGGGGTGCGAGTGGGGGTGCGAGATTCACGAGATTCTTATAATTACACGATGGGACCGCATAACGACAAGCAGGGATCAATAGATCGTGGACGACGACGAATGCAGCATGCGGCTCCCTACTTGGCCCCGAGAGATATGGGTGCCGGGCACGTGACCGAAGCATCACGCGCAAGAATGCTCTCGAACCTTCAAGGGACCCTGCAAGGCGGCCAAGAGATAAGCAAGCGTGAAAACGCGCTAGCGCGAGATCTGTTTGCGGAGAGCAGCTGCGATCTACAGTAGTACTGTAAGGTGTCACAATTATTGAGTTCGATGATTCGTAAGTCCGATTGTTGCAGCGACCACGATCGACACGACGGGGAGGGGCACCAAATCAACGATCGCGCGACCAAGCCGACGGATATCCTGCTCTGCATGCCATTCATCAGAGCAGATGGCTGAGAAGATTGCGAGCTTTTTGTTTGGACAGGCCTCGTCGCGGCCAGTGTTGGTGAGATCACTCTGCATTCGACGATTGTGCGGTACAGTAGGCACTGTGACTGTACACCGCAATGATATCTAGAGCTGCAAAACGCTCGACAGGCCGTGCTCACCTCGGCGTTTTGCCCTCCCTCCCAAGCCAAAGATGAAGGGGTTGCCTACGAAATTCTGCCAAGCTGACGCTAAGCGACTCTCAAACCGCGCGAAAATCATCTCCGCTTATCGGGAACAGCCGTTCTCATCGTCGAATCGCTCAGCGCCGCTTCCGTGACAAATGACGACGACCATTCTAAACGCACTCCAGCTTCCAAAAGCAGCAGCAGGTCGTATGCCGGCGGTACCGCAAGGATCGGGTTACAGTATGCGGCTAGCCAGGCAAACTGGTCTGCCATCCCTACTACTGGCGATGGCCGCGGCAAGTGCATGATGGACTGGTGCGGAGAAGCTGCAGGCGGGCGCGTCGCTTCTCGGATGTTTCCTATCAGTTAATTGTGGAGCTGCGCCCCTGCACCATGTGTCTCGAGCGCAAGGGTTCGAGCTACATACAAGTAGTACGTGCTGGGGTGCGAAAGGTCGTGCCAATCCGATCCTTCCGCTATCAAGCTCTTCCGCTCTTTGCCCGCGATGCAACCATTTCAAACTGGGTTCTCGCCAGAGACCCCAGTGCTCTTGACAACAGCAGAGCGGATGGCACAAGTGACAAAGCGGAAGTAATGTCGCCCGGCCCGGGCAAATGGGCTTCGGAACGTGGTTCATCAAGTGGCTTTGCAGCGCGGGTGCCTTGGCAGTACCGGTACGTGAACGTTAGAAGAACGAGTGCCGAAATGAGCGGATCATTTGCAAGCAATTTTGCGGAGGCCTGCAGCACCAGCAAGCCTGATCTGCACATGGCGATTTCTATTGATAACCTTCAGCGGCGGAGGTCGTCCATTTAGCATTTCTTGGCAAATAGTGCTCGAGCGTACCGGACCGAAGCGATCGTGTGGTTTTGCATAGCGGAGAGCAGTGCTGACGTGGCCAGCCCTATAAGGAGTCAAACAGACTCGATCCCGCGCCCGGTTGTGTGTTTGTGTCTTTCCACCTTCCTGCCTTCTTCACCCATGCTCGAGCAAAATCAGGCCGGTATGAGCGTCAACGCCGAGAAGCAGCAAGAAGAGGGCCTGGCTACGCCTCAGTCGCCAGAAGCGCCTACCCCTACCAGCAGCAACGAGCCCAGCAAGCCAATCCGTCCTCCGCTGAACGAGAGGCGCACCGTCTCAAAGACAGGCGCACAGCTGATACATTGGGATGACGATGATCCCGAACATCCTTTCAATTGGTCACTAGGTGAGTGAAGCCTGCCGCGCATGTCACCCGAGGACCTCGATCACCGCTTATTCAGGCCGCTCGCCTCACTCGTCCACGCAAACGCCAGGCCGGAAATGGTTTGCGCTCGGAGTAGCTCTTCTCTTCAACAGCTCTACAGCCGTGAGTCCGCCGACTACTGCGTCGAGTCAACTTTTGCCTACTCACAGTCGTGCCCATCGTAGATGAACGCCACCGGCTACACCACAGCTCAGCAAGTCGGCGCAGCAGAGTTCAACACCAGCGAAACGGTCTGGTTGACGGGCACAACGGCGTATCTCGTGCCTGTAGCTCTCACACCACTGGTACTGGCGCCCTTATCGGAGATCCACGGTCGACGTCCGCTCTACCTGATTGCACTCTTTCTGTACACGATGATGTTCATTCCGCAAGCTTTGGCTCCGAACATTGGCGCCATTTTGGGCTCGAGGATAGTGCAAGGATGCGCCGGGTCGGTGGGCAACACCATGTGCGCGGGTAGCGTCGCGGACCTCTTCCCAAAATCTCAGCGGGCCATACCTATGGGCTTCTTTGTGCTGATTGTATTGTGAGTCTGGTGCTGTCGAGCGAGCGACGCGCTCGATGTCTGACAAGGCTTCTGCCACCGGTCTCCTAATAGCATGAGTCAGGGCATCGGCTCCACCGCATCCGGCTGGACTGTGCAGACCATCGGCTGGAGATGGATGTGAGTGGCTGGCGAAAAGGTGTCTCGCCAGGTGAAATTGGCGCTGACCATCTGCCCCTCCTACATGCAGCTTCTGGTGGCAGGGTGCTGTGGCTTTGGGCTCTTTGGCGATCATGCTGGCATTCATGGAAGAGACCAGAGAAGGTGTGCTACTCTCGAAGCGAGCTCAGCGCATAAGCAAAGAGCAGGGCATCAAGCACATGACGGAAGATGAGGAGGAGAGAAAGTCCTTCATCCTGATGGCGTCGCGAAATCTTGGACGACCGATTCTTTTCTTTGTTACCGAGCCAATCGTTGCTTTCCTAGCTCTCTGGATCGGGTGAGTGGTACGCCGCGTGACGCTGCTGCTCGGGTCCCAGGCTGACCAGATGCACGTGCCCAAATCGAAAGATTCTTGTGGGGCGTCGTTTTTCTTTCGCTCGAGGGCGTGTCGGACACCTTTATGGTGTATGGCTGGGACGCTGCTTTGATCAATACCGTTCTGTTGGCCATTCCCGTGGGCGGGCTGATCGGCTTCTTGACAAACCTGCACCAGGCCAAGCTTTACGATAGGGCAGCAGAGAGGGCAGGTGGCAAGGCACCGGCAGAAGCCAGATTGTATTGGTCCATGCCAGGTGCCGTCTTCACCGTAGGCGGTCTGTTTTGGTACGGTTGGGGAGGGCAGGCAGACGTGCATCCGGCAGTGCCCATCCTTGGCTTGGTGCTGTTCTCCTGGGGCACCTACATCATCTACCTCGCGACGCTCAACTACATTTCGGACAGCTACGAAACATATGCAAGCAGTGGCATAGCTTGCCAAGCTCTGCTAAGGAACATCTTTGGAGGCACTTTTGGACTCTTTGCCCACGGCATGTACAGGAACCTCTCGCCGCCTATCGCTTCCACCGTACTAGCCTGCATATCCGCCTTCCTAGGCATCGCGCCTTTTGTCCTCTTCTTTTTTGGACCGCATCTCCGTGCGCGCAGTCGCATCCACAAACGCCTCATGCGGGAAGAAGATGAGCGCAGAGAAAAATCCCACGGCTAGGCGATGCGGGACTGGACGAATGAATGACGCCTAAGATTTTAGCACGCGTTGGTCTGGCTGCGTCGATGCGCACACATGGCTCCTTTCTGGCTTTCTATATCGTGATGATGATGACGAATGAGCTGTGTGCAATGACGAGGACCGTAGTGCGTCGAAGATGCCCAAGATGTATGGGCGAGCGATGCTGACGCTTGGTCAGCACGATCCGCAGGGGTGAAAGGTCAGCGTTGGAACGGGTCATCTCCGCTTTGAAGGCTATACGTAGACGAGACTTGGCCGCTTGATTGTGACCAGTCACCGTCACATCAGGCTGCGCAGCTGAGGGAACTCTGATGCTGGCCATGCTGCTGGAGCCTCTTCTCACTCAATCACGAATCAAGGCTCGTCAACCGTCGCTCGTGTCAAGGTCACTTTGTTTTCGCCTGTTGGACTCATGTACCTTTCTTTGTGCCTGACTCTCAACATCCATCACTCGAGCCACTCGCGGCCAGGTCGCTTGCTGCTCTGGTATACTCGTGACTATATATATATTCGTGACTCATCAGCGATCCATGCAGCGCGGCATTCCACGAGTGCGAACATCCGCGCTCGAAGAAGTCTGACCGCTGCGCTGGTCGCGAGCACTCCGCACCGCGAACAACATCAATTGATATGTATATCCATCCCTTGCTAATGGATTCATCAGCTTGTTTCATGCTGACTATATATACATCTTCATGATTCCGACTGATCTTCTCCGAGGCGCCACTTGTTCCTGAAACAGGTGAATCAGGCAGGCAAGGCTAGCGCGGGCGAGCGAGGACATGGTTGCTGTACGTGCAGCATGTATATGTATGTTACAGCGGCGAATCATCCTGCTGAACAGGCCGGCACGGAGCACCGCCTCTCATCGCGTCAGATGACATGCACGACGAGATGAGGTGTCGCTCACCACGTTCAAACCCGTATTCAAACTATAAGGCTGAGGGTGGGAATGAGCATCACGTGAATCAGATCTTGCGTGTGCCTCTATCGAAGGCACTCAGACTTTTGACTCGATCTGTTGCAGGTCACAGTCGAGGCCGGCAATCACGAATCGCACTCACGCTTCACCATCGCGTACTCATCAGTCATCCTATGCTGCGGCGTTACAGGCCAGCTCGCGCCTTCCCATCCATGCATCAGCACAGCATAGGTATAGAACTATTATGTGAATGATGGAGTGAATAAGCTCGTGCGGATCGTGGTGCTGATGATTCGATCTACATTAATTGATTGCCACTCGTGATTCAAAAGAGGGATCGTGGACCGCGGTCGCACCTTGGCGTTGCGCATATATTCATCTGACTGCTCTCGACTGCTCGAACAAGGCGCAATCAATCGACTTGCTGGCGACCGATCGTCGTGCACTGATGGACCTCGCTGTGGCGTCACTGGCGTGTACTATAGCTGTGTTGCCGCCGCAGGAAGGTGAGACGAGACGCAGTATACCAGCAGTCACCTGCTTATCCATCATCACAGCATGTCCCCTCCACGCTGCGTGACGCGGCGGCATACCCGAGGAACGCGCTCGCGATCGCGCTTCTTCTCAGAGGTACAAAGTGACGTGCTGTGTAGTTGTTTACCCTTCTCCGCCATTATCTGACCTGTACGCGCCACCAACTTACTATGGCACCGCTATCTGCTTGCTGTCATACGGTCTCGTCTCGTGTTGCGTGTGAGGGCGATACTCGGTGCTCCTGAATGCGTTTACAGCTCAGCAGCCTGGCAGACCGACTCGACGCCCCTTCCGGTGAACATCCACCTGCGTAGTCAAACGACTCCAGCTCGTTTTTCCACTACCAGCCACCCACTCCACCAGCGCTGTCATTGGCCCCCTATCTAGCCAGCGAGCCAGGTTCTCGTCATCAGCTGCTTCATCTGCCTCCGAAGCGCGAGCAGCCATCTCCTCAGCTGCGGTTCTTTTGCGCTCGGTGCAGAGACCCGCGGATCTTCATTGTAGCTCTAAGCCGCTGCAGAGCGCTTCTCTGTCCATCGCTTCCTCCTGGAAGGTGAGTTGACCGCTGAATTAGAGATCGCGATCCGGACTTCAGGCAGCGTCTGCAGGCTTCATCCGATCGCAGGTGGCTCAGTTAGAATCAAGAATGTGTCGAGCATCTGAGTGGAAGCTGGCTGGAACTGGCCCGCCAGATGCACGTCGGGCTCATTACAGACCGGATGACTTTTGATCGACGTGTACAGGTGGCCGGAGCGAGCATGCATCAGGTCGAGGTAATCAAAGTGCAACATCGCGCCTGGCCCCGGATCCTTAGCGCTGTTTGGGAGGGGGGGGGGGGGGGGGGACCACGAGATCCGCCAAGCTACAGGTGCTGTATCTGCAAGCTATTCATGTCATCCGCCGCTGCACAAGACAACCCTCACGGCCTGGTGGCATAGCGCGGGTCGAGGAGATGGATGGCAAAGGCTGGAAATTGCCAACGTGGTGTAAGCCGCTCTTGTGGAGGGAAGAGAGATGCGTCCAAAGGAATGCGCTGGCAGACGACTCGCTCTTTTCCATCTGCCCTGTGCACAGGATCAGCCAGACAAGCTCGCCTATGCAGAGAACACAGAGTTGCTGCAAGAGTTCCAAGACACCGAGCTGCCTGATGACTTACTTGACTGCTAGTATCGCCTTGCCCCTTTCCTCGCGCAGTCACTGCGCCACGACAAGGGCTTCACCTACGGCCGACTCTCCTCCACCTTGGCTCGCTTCTTCTTGCGAGCGAACAAGAATAGATTGCGACGCTAGCGCTTTTGGACTGCAACGCTCTTTGTGCTGCTGCTGGTCCTGCTGTGCTCTGTGCTGTACGGCAGGCAACAGCTGCACGCGGGCAAGAGCAAGAGGCGCCAAAGTTGCAGCCGGCTTGTGCGACGATTTCGAACTGCGAAGAAGTCGCGTTCCTGGCAGCAACTAGTCCATCACTGGGCAAATCTTGCTGGTGCATTGGCAGGTCTAGACAAGAGGGAATGGACAAGGACCAGTCGGGCTCGACGATAAAGAAGAATACTTCCGCTTGTGAGTGGAAGGAGCTGGCGAGCAGAACGTCACCGAGGAGCGGTGCGTGTGTCAAGAGTCGTACGATGTTCGGGCTTGACTGGATCTCGCCTTGGCGGAGTAATATCCAATGCTACAGTAGTCGGCTTCCAGACTTCCGCACGCTTTCTGCCTCCCGTAGTGCTAGTTGGATACCGCCTAGACTTGGGCCTCGGCTGCTGGACACCGCCTAGGTACAGCGACAGCCTACCGCACGTGCGTGCAGTCGCCCGCGTCCGGCATACTGTAGCAGCAGAATTCGCAGCGCCCATGCGCCGAGGCTGCAGATCTTCGGCCGTGGGAGGCTGGCTCTGTTAAGCTTCTATACGCGACTTTGTCACCGACCAGCGTGCTGGCCGGTGCTAGCAATTCTGCGTTCTGCAGAGGTCGTGCGCTTCGAGCGGTCTCAGAGAGAGCAAGGCAAAGCAAGTCCTTGCCCATTGTCGAGGTCTGCTCCGCTCACTGTTCCGGCCTGACAAGGGCTGCTCGATCACCTTTGGCTTGTGGGTCGGGATGACGTGAATTCCGGTCAAATGCGACCGCTACGCTACACGGGTGGATGGAGCTGCGCGCGCAATCACTAATCACCATAGGCGCATGGCGCAACGCCCCACCCGATAAAAGCGCAGGCAGGTCGGAGTGGAAGATGATACCAGTGCCTGTCTGTGTCGCAAAGGAGGGTTGTCATGCAAGCAAAGGCTCACACTCCGACAATGTGCGAGGCGGTGAAAGGCTATGCGAAAGCGGCGCCCAAGTAAGCAAGCCTTTACGCGCTTCCTCGCTTCTCACCATGCGTTGCCAAAGGGGTTTGCCCGTTCGCCTTGCGCACGCTGCCCTGGAGGAGGTACTCCTGCTGTAGCCATGGCTGTAGGTGGTTCCTACGCGTGCAGGCAAACGCGGCTCCTTTTCAGCTGGCCTGCCCTCCGCAGCATCGCGCAGCTCCTCGAGAGCGTCGGCCCTCCGCAAACTACACCTAGGAAGCTGTAGGTGCGGCTCCACGGAGCAAGCACATGCTTGGCCGGGAACCCAAATAGGCTTTTCGGACGCGTTCCAGCAGTTGCGTTGTTGGCATGTGCCTCAATCTCACCGCGCGCGCCAACCTCCGCGTCTCGGCTGCTCTGAGCGCCGTGCCTCACGCATACCTATTATACCCAAGCGGGCTCGCATCTTGGTTCGAGTCGCGAAGCGCGAAGCGGACCTCTTGACGCGCCGTCCACCATCCGATGTGTTGACTCGGGCTGGCGCAACCTTCACGCACCTTGTGCTCATACCCTCTTCATGCCCACAACTCTCTCAGTTCACTTACGCTAAAGCAGTCGCTGCACAGCTCACGGAACGGAACGGTTATCGGAGCAGACTTGGCGGGGTGTGCTGCACAAGACTGGATCTATCCACATCCCGTCTCCGTATCGTCGTCAAGATCTTCTCGGCTTGCCTGAGAGCGACGCTCACTCACACCGCGAAGATGTCTCAGTACGATCAGCGCTTCTCCGCATCATCCCTTGCGGGGCCCAGTAACGGCAGCGGTCGCGATGCGAATGGATCTTTCGACGCGTCGCACCTCGACCCGAATAGTCAGAGGAGCTCGCCAAACAACACGAGGGTTGAGCCGGGTGTACACCATGCTTCCAAGCAGAAGCCCGCCCAGACTGCGCTTAGATCCCCCTTTGAAGAGGCGACAGTCAGGACGGTCCCTCAACCTCGTGACACCATGTCCACTTATTCACGCGCTTCCATCGCGCAGTCACTCGATGACGAGGTACTCGCTTCGCGAGCTCCAGCATCGCAGCGAACGCCGCATCCTGCTGAAGCGGGCTCCGGCTTCTTCGATCGGGACTCCACTTTGGGCGATGACCCCCGCTCTCGAAGGGCCCCTTCGACGAGCGAAACGTTGCGCTCGACCGGCGCAAACTACGACTTGCCAAGATCCTCCCTGGCTGGACATTCTCAAGCTTCGCAAACATCTGGCATCGGCCCGCGAGGGAATCCACTAAACGTTCGTGACTTTGCGATGGGTCCCTACGATTCGCGGACACGGGTTGCGCCCGCTGCTCACGACATCCACGGAAGCGCTGATCGGACGAGGGTATACGGCTTAGCTCGCGATCTGCGAGGAGTATCTCCAGACAGCGCCCATCTACCGCTCTCGATGGGCGGCAGTGATTATGGGTCTCATCCAACAGCCGCCGGTGCTGTAGTTGGCCAATCTGCGACGAGTGTAGCCAGCAATGGGTTCAGCGTAGAGATCTTTGCTCCAAGCTTCGATCATCGAGGTTATCCAATCTACTCGGGCAGAGCTGCCATGATCCGGGGCAGGATACGCATGCATGCGAGCGAGAGCTGCGAAGTCATCGTCAAGGTGAGTGGGCAGTGCGTGCATTTCGTAGGTGAGGTCTGGGACTGACGCTGGCGTGACAACGCTCCATGTCTCTGCAGCTCTGGGCGTACACATCTCAAGGGTCTCCTGCGGCTATCTGGGACGGTATCGCTTTGTTGCCTCCAGATCAAGGCAGCGAGACTAGAGTATTTGAGGTTTCCGACACCGTCAAGCCTGATGCGCCTGGGGCACGCCTCCGGCCGCGTCCTGCTGCGCCTGGCGAGCAACCCTCAGACCATTTCCCGGCGACTGATGATTTGGTTCTGGAGCTGCCCTTCGAGACGCAAATGCCACAGGGAACTGCGACAAGATGGAGGGACGGCGAAACGCAGGTCGTGCCAGTCGCGATGCCTCCAAGCTTCGAAATGTCTAGCGAGTCGGATGCGAAGAAGAGGGCAGACGATCGGGCTACCGAAAAGGAGATGGCCGAGAGGTTAAAGCACGGGACGCTGACTTCATCCGCAGCGAGCATCAGGTCAAAGATGACGCTAGGCTTTGGCAGTGGTGGTGGCTCGGTTGCGAACTCTGTGAGAGAGGCGCTGGAGAAGGGGTTTGGGGAAGTATATAGAATTGGTTGCTTCTACTCCCTCAGCTTCACACTACAACGGCAAGGGGACTCGGAGAAGGAGTCGAAGTTCGGGAAGCTGGTGGGCAAGAAGGTCAAGAAGGAAAAGCGGCCATACGATACGTGAGTGTCGTTCAATTTCAAGGCTGATATGCGATGAAGATGACTTCTATGCATCACGACCGCTGGGCTGACCGTCGTATGACCGGTCCTTTCACAGCATCACGATTCCGTTCCTGTTTCTGGGAGAACCGTCCGGCCTTCGTTTGCCACCTCAGAGCCTGCCAGATGCTCTACCGAGCGAGATGTTCTTCAGGGCTAATACCCGCATAGCCGAAGAGTGGATCATTGCCCAAGCCACAGCAAAATGGAGCGGCAGTCTGATTCGCACCGCTAAGCGCAGCGTAGAGCTTGAGGTGCGTAATATTGACTTGGTAGTGGTGATTCTGATCCCTGCTGATCCTCGCGCCTTCAACGCAACGACAGTTGCACATGTACGGAATCGAGGGGCAGCCGCCCGTCCTACACGCGCCCTCTGCGTTCCCCATTTTGATAGTGATCCGACCAAATGATCCTCACCTTTTACCGCGACCTAAAGAATCGACCAACTCTCCAAGCATGAGCATCAGCGCCTCTTGGAATTCGGCGGCAGGATCTCCAGTCCCTTCGCATACTCACAGCCCGGGAGCTTCGATACAGGGAATGCCTTTGCCACCTCCCGCATCCGGCCTGTCGTCTTCGATTCACGACGCGCTCGGCGAGCAACAAGAGCGAATCGAGGACGTCGAGAGCACTTCAAATAACGGCCTTGTATCGCGTTTCATGCGATCGTCCCTGAACCTTACTCGCGCACCCTCAGGTCATTCGAGCGCACAGAATCCAATGCCGACTTCACGCAGCTCTGCCAGCATTGCTAGTCCATCGACAGGCGCCTCCGGCCATCGGAGCAGCACTTCCAAGCAAATCACAAAGCAACGCTCCACCGCGAGTCTTGCGAGTGCATTCGGCAAGCGGAGGCCGTATACTGCTCCAACAAGCTCTCGAGGATCTCTTTCGCCGCCAGGTTCGTCCACGGTGGTGCCGGAGCGCAGCGATGGGCTGGACCTAGCAAAGTTGGTGCGCGTGTCGCTATTGCAGACCACTTACTGCACGGCAACAGGACCCTCGGACGTGCCTCGAGTGAGACGAAAAGTCATCTCCTTGGCAGAAGTCGAGGAGATAGATCCAGCCACGGTGGTCGGCGGACCTACGAGCCCTCCGCTTGACCTCGGATTGGGCGAAGGCGAGACCACTGGAGCTGCGGCTTCGAGAGCTTTGATCGCACATGCCAAGACTACTGGGGTTCGTGTCCTTCGTGGGGTCATCAAGGTCAGCGGCGACACAACTCCGGGATTTAGGTGCCAAGGTATCGAAGTGAAGTACGCATTAAAGATCGATCTGCTACCTTTCTCGGCAAAGCATTCCAACAAGAGACCTGCGAGCGGCGGCGCCGGAACGACAGCAAGCATCTCGGATGCTTTGAGAAGCATAAGCGAGACTGCAAGACCCTCGTTCTCTTCTAGAAGAGAAGCTTCGCAGTCGTATTTCGATCGCAGGAACCCGTCCGATAGCGATCCTAATTCGACACCGCGCACGCCGCCGAACCACCCAAGATCTTCACACCTCGCGGGCGGACAAGCGGCATCCCCGCCACTGCCACCTCTTCCGCCGCAGCATCGCGGATCGCCGGGCACGCTGGGCAGCCCGCAAATGAGCGATATTCGCTCTTACGTTGGTGGCTCCGGGCAATCGCATGCCGTGGGCGATAGCGTGTACGGGTAAGTCCTGCAGACAGAGCTTGCCGCATTTGCTTGCGCTCCTTGCGCTCACGCTGACAATCACTTCCTGACCATGCTTGTAGGGATGATGGCCAGCTCGTCGGCAAGATTGATAAGAGCACTGGTGCTTTGTGGCAAGATGTTCGCTTGGTACGCGCCCACGCCATGTACTCTGGTGGACGTGTCAACCGATGAAGACAGCATCATCGATGATGTGCTCGATGGCCGGGATGCGAGACGCTGTCATCCACTGGACGAATGTTGAGCCACCCCTTTCTGATGAAATACCCTGCAATGTATGCTCCATGTGCGAGATTACGAGGAAACACGCCAGTCTCAGCTTGGAGACAGGCAATGAGCGCTTGAGTGATGTGATGGTAGGTGGGGATTCGGCAGACGATGTGCCCTCGATACTCGTTGACTGTTGGCTGCATGCATGCAAGCCCATGCTTCATATGACATGGAGGAACGTGAAGCCGCCGTAGGCTGCAAGGAACTGGCCCGTGCACGCACGCGCCGCGCACCTCCGTCTGTGCGCGGAGCCGCCAGCTCGCTGGCATTCGTGACTGTGTTGCACCGCATTTCAGAGCATCTGTTCTTGGCGGCGAGCTTGACGCGCTTCCGAGCTTCTTGCTACCATCCACCCGCGCCTGCGAGATTGGCACGACATTTCAATCGCTTGGTAAACTCGTCCGTCGTCCGCATCGGCACCAGGTGTAATTGGCTGGCATCATGGCAGCACCGGTACTGCTCGTGCGACGTCCATCACCCGAACTGGCCAAAGGCTTGCTCACACACATTAGCGATGATCGGGCATCGCTATCCACTGGGCTGGCTTCTCAGCAGTGGCTCGAGTACACCAACGTCTTTCGAGCGCATGGCTGGGATGTTCGAGAGGTACAAGCAGCGGATGAGTGCCCGGATGGAGTCTTCATCGAGGACGCCCTACTATGGCTGACCGATCTCAGTGAGAAGGCGGATCAAGGCCCTGCAATCATCCTCATGAACACGCCTGCACCGTCCCGCGCCAAGGAGCTATCTACGGCACAAGCCTGCGCAGAGACGATTGCTACTGCCCATGGTGCCAAGCTGTACAGCTTGAAAGAGATCGGAGGAAGCGAAGCTCACCTCGAGGGTGGAGACGTGCTCAAAGTTGGACGCGTTGTCTACGTCAACTCCGGCGGTCATCGGACAAACGAGGCGGGAATTTGCGCGCTGAGAAGTATTGCAGAGCGTATAGGATATTCCGTTGTCGGCATTCCAATTCAAGGTGCTTTGCATCTCAGTGAGTAGGGCCGCATACACCTCAGCTAGACGCTAGCAGCCTGTTCACGTCCATCCTTGGGATCGTGCAGAGAGTGCAGTGACGGCACTGCCTGATGGCACCGTCATCGGTCACATGCCTGGTTTGCAAGCGTTCTTCAAGCCATATCTGCAAGTCCCGGAGGTGCGTTCGATGCTTGTGAGGTACGAGTCGTGATTTGCACATTTGGAATGTCCTCACCTCGTGTCTCTCTCAAACGCAGCCCGAAGGGGTAGCCGTGGTGCATCTGAGACCTTACGAGGCGCTTGCAAGTGCGCACGACGAAAAAGCGGAAGCTCATTTGGTCATGTCTTCGTCAGCGCCGAGGACCACAGCGCTGCTAGAGAGCTTGGGGTGGAAAGTGACCACGACAGATGTGACCGAGTTCGAGGTGAGCTAGAGCCTGTTCTACCCAAAGTAAAGTTGCGGCACGCAAGATAGGACGCGCGCTGAATCCAAAGCACTCCCGACTGGACACGCATCGCTGAGTAGAAGCTGGAGGGATGGTGAGTGTGGAGGGTCGCCGTGGCTCTGACCCGTTCTGTCGCGCAGCTGACCAAGCCCTGACGGTACGAACGCAATGCACAGCGTGACCTGCCTATCCGTACGCTGTCGACCAGGCTCGCGCAGCTAGATGTGGCAAGGAAGGTCGTGGTAGCGCATGTCAACGAGAAGCGGGTGCTTTTGCTTCCCATGATCTTGCGGTGGCTCCCACGTGCGTCGAAGAGCAATTAGGCATCAGAGTGGAATACAGGAGGCCCACAGCGGCGGGAAGAGGACTCTTGAATTGAGTTCATTAGGCGGCGCGTGGAATCTGCTTTTCTCACCCAAGCTGCTGCACCTGTGCTCATTGCTCCATGGACACCTTCCGACCCTTGGCTCTGACGCTCGTTCTTGGCATGGATGTTGAGAAGTGAGGTGAGGTTCGCTGTATAGTAGTTTGAGTACCTACACAGAAAGGACTAGCTATGGACGCGATGTGGGTGAGAGAGGCCGGAGTCACGAGTGTTGCGCGCCTTCAGCTTCAGTCATTCACGATTGCGTGCAGCAAGCGCAGTCAGTGGGTGGACCTGCCAGAATTGAGTGCGGTACGAGCGACGTAGAGCCATCGTGCGGGAAACCAACGTTCATGCACGCCCAGCGCCCAGGTGCATGCATGCATGCATTCAGCGTGCGGTGATCGCTGGTCTGCTTCTCGATCCTCACCGACACCGCGCGTATGCGCATGCAAACATGTGGCATCCCGGCGCACCACGCAGCTATAGCACCCCGGCCGCGGCTTATTCACTCGTCGTCAGGTACAAGCGAAGCATTTCATTGCACCGCACGTCCACCAGGTCCAGCTCTCTCCTAGCTGCCTCTATATGCACGCCCGCATTGGAGAGGCTGCTGCCGGTACCCGATCGTCTCCTCTTCAGCCCTTCATGCGAGCAATGATCAGCGCTCCTCGTTTAGCTGCCGTCGTGATGCTCGCCAAGCGTCTTCAGCCAGCACGGAGGGAGAGGATCGACAGAGAGAGGGAAAGAAGTATATAAAGGCATCGTGTCTCGCTCTTCATCTTCATTTGCGATCCCCTTCTCATGTTCCGTTGCCCGTCTCTGCTCTTGTGTCTTTAAATTTTCTGCACCCGTCATCTCACTTCTCTCGCTGTGCGATATCTCCCACGACCTGCTACTGGACTAGCCCAATCATCCCTCGACTCTTTCTCGCAGCTTCGATAGCTCCTCCCTTTGCTCGAAATCGCTTGCGCTCAGGTCGCACACCGTTTTCGACATTCACATCTCCCCACACGACCAGCATCACCTCCCACGCTATACAAACAACTCTTCTGTGAAGATGCCTCACGTTGCTGCTCGCACCATCTCGACTGCCTCTTACCCTGCTGGCACTCTGGCTCATGCAGCCCTGCTACAAAGGATGAGGCGGGACGACGCTCCCAAGTGCGTTCCCGGACCTTTGGGCTACGAGACCACAAACGATGACGACAAATTTCCTTCGTGCTCTACGAGCGTGTGAGTGATCCATTGCCCAGCTTGCGAGGATGCATGTCATTGACAAGTATGCTGCTCCTGCGGTCCACTTGTAGACCCGAGATCACGCGCTCGTGCTGTGCGCAAGGCACAGTCCTGACCGACCTAGCCGCCGTCCCCACCAACGGCATCGCGTGCATTCCGATCGCTTCGCTGAGCGCCACCTCTGCGCAGTCGGATCTGGACGCGGCTTGGAAAGCGTTCGAGGATTGCGCACGCAAAGCGCACGGGGATATTTGTCCAGCCGGCACGGGTTTCGATGTGCAGTGCAACAAGCGAAAACCCGACGATGCGCCCGCTGCTGCTGCTGCTGCTCCTTCTTCGACTTTGCAAGAGGATAAGGAGGAGGAGGAGGAGGAGGATTGCGACGTGACGCCTACTAGCGCCATCGTTGCTGCTGCCAGTGCCACCAACGTCGCTTCGGCACTCAATGCTCCCTCGGCCCCACTGACCCTCAACAATGGCACCAGCGGTCACAAGGATCACGGCAATGGCGCATTTGGTCGATTCGGAACAGCACCGATCGGAGGGACTGTGCAGCTCCTGCTGCTCAGTCTAGTGAGCGCCAAGCTACTCTTTGTGTAAGCTTGGTCGATGAATGGAGCAAGCCTCTCGTTTCTCTGCTCGCTCGCTCGCTCGCCTCCGAGCCTTTCCCATTTGTTGGACTGCTCCCTCGCACGCTCTTTAGTCGCTCCTTTCGTCTCGCGTTCCGCATTTATTCTGCAGTCACCTCAGGTCACCTATACTAGCTCGTTGCCCCCCCTCGATCCATCTCCTAGTGAGATGAATCACTCACAATCTTTTGCAATTACATTTGACTTTGACAGTCGATGTCGCGCGGAGCCAGAGAGCACGATGCGAGCTTGGGAGGCTGAGCTAGAGATCATTCGTCCCAAAGTGGTATTCACGATTGTCAGTCACTGCTTGACGAGAGGAGAGAAAGTGGTCTTTAATCATGAAGAGTGCCAATCTTGAATGCTTTGCTTCAATTGGAATCGCGACGCCATTTGTATTGCGGTGACGCGGGCCAAGAGTTGATGAGTCTTTGCAAGCCGATATGAAAAGTCGCGGGACCGAGACAGATGTTGTCAACGTGACACACGCGTGCGAGAGCTTGATTTTGATTATGATTATATAATTATAGATCGTGAAGTGCGTCGGGCCGCTTAATTTCGATTGCGAGCATGAGCCATTCAAGTTAATTTGTGCAGTGCACGGTGCACGCGGTACGCGTGCCTTTGCGTTTCGTGACTCGCGACTGATATCTTCGCGGGTGGACATGCACGCAGCCTGCCAGCCAGCCACACTTTGAAGCCCATCCATCCACATCATCAGCCGGCCGGTCTTGCCGTCTTTCCACGATTGCACCTCGCGCGGGGCACGAGGAAGGGCCGCCGTGCTGACGTAACCCTGCCACTTCGCCCATAACGAAGCAGGCAACGACTCGGAGCGGCTATACTCGCTCTGCATCCTAGGTGCCGATAGACCGACTCGAAGGAGAGCAGCGCCAGAATCATGTGCATGCCATCTTGACCGGCCTTTGCACTGTTCCAGGCCGTCTGGCTGGCCGGCAAGCCTTGGCAAGCACATCGCACATTTGCATTCACCAACAGGCGCATGTCGGAATCATGTCCAGCATTCCTTCACTGGCCGCACTCGAGGCGATGGATCTCCGACCGAAATACAAGAACAATTGTGGTGCTTGGTGAGCAGGTGAAGGATCCTTTCGTACCGACTCGAAATGCGGCGATCATTCGAAGGACTAATGCGCCCCCTTCTGAACCCAATTTTTCCCAGCCGAAAGCGTAAACTCAAGTGCGATCGCGTCAAGCCTTGCGCAACGTGCGTGCTGAGGGACATTTCAGATCAGTGCTTTGTCGACGAGCCAGAACCTACGCCACCTCTGCGACCTGGCTTCGCATCTCATGCAGCGCATAAGAGATTGAGAACCAGCGACGCGGAGCATGCTGGATCGAGTCATCATGTGCCGTACAGGAGCTCAGCTCACGTGGGGTCGAGTGGAGCAGGGGGAGGACAGACAGTAGTCGGGGGCTCACCATCCAGCGCGAGCGCCAGCACACCTCCCAGCGGTCATCATCGAGACACGGTCCTAGAGAGTGTACAGGCTCAACTTGCGGACACTCAGCGTCAGCTCCTTACGCTCAGCCAATCTTTGGCCACACTTCAATCGGATCGCCTCCGAGTAGCAATTCCCCCCACAGAGTCGTCGGACGACGATGCTGCTGCCGGAATATCATGGCAAGCGCTGTCCCCCCTTCTTCCACCCCTAGAAGCTTGCCACACCCTCGTCGAGCGATTTTTCGTGGATGCGATTTGGTACATACCCGTCATCCACAAGACTTCATTCGTAGAACGTGTCTGGATACCCTTCGCCTCTGGAAGAGCTGCAGTCACTAGACCATTGGCAGCCGTCATATGCCTCGTTTTGGCTTACCCGCTGCAGCTTTGTCCAGATCAGTCAGACATCACGCGGCACAAGAGCCTTGGGGATGCGTGCGATATTGTGGATCGCCTGGTGCGGGAAGCGTTCAAGCTGACTGCCAACCAAAAGGCTGCTTGGGGACCCTTCAAAGCGCCTCAATGCGATCTGCCTCTAATCCAAGCGCTGCTTCTGCAGCTCGTGTTCCTGGTGAGCAATCTGTCGCATTGGTGATGCAGATGTACGAATCATCACTTAGCGCAAGGTCCACTCGCCCGCGTTGGCGCACCTAGTCTATAGTCGGCTCTATGGATCCTGCACTTCCTCTTCAAGCAGAAATCATTGCCCGCGCACACTACGCCGGATATTTTCGCATTGCTGGCATGCCTCCGTTGATCAATCCCGGACTCCCTTGGGACGAGCGTGGAGCACCCAAGGTGCCTGACGCCCGCGACGAGCGCTTCTCGGACGAGCGATCAGAAGGAGAAAAGTTGCCCATCCTCACAGGCGAGATGCCTGCTGGGTCCGCGTTGGAGACAGAGTATCGAAGAAGAATTGCATGGACATGCTTCTGCCATGCCGGATGGTTTGCGCTGGTCACCTCCACACAGCCGCTCATCAGCACGTCCGACTTCTTTGTCCCTCGACCGACCTTCCTCACAGACGAACATTTCGATCCTCTGACTGGTCAGGTGCTCACCGAGATTTCGCAAGAAGCTAGAGCGCAAGGATCACGACAATCAGATGCTGATGGATATTTGGATCCATTTGCTGACTACCTGTTCGGAACCCTCGAAAGCTCCTTCGCCACGCGACGTGTCGCAGACTTTTTCCAAAAGTTGCCATCGATGAGCGCATTGGAGCGTCACGAGGCGGTGCGAATCCATGAGAACGCATTTGAGCAATTCGTCACCGCTTCAGGCAATAACCTCGCTGCTATCGAGAAACAATGGAGGAAAGGCACAGAGATAGGCGCTAGATGTGCAGTGGGTGGCCTCATCGTATACACCTCGCAACGCTTCTTCAACGTGTTGCTAGGCAAGGTCGTCATGCAGGATTCGGAAGCACCGCCGGATATTCGGTTCAAGTCCTTGGAGCACGCAAGAAACCTTTTCGAGATGATGCCGCTTATGATGGAGATGGCGTCGGATCCCACTGTTCCCTTTCATTCTGCATGGTGTGCTACCCACGTGTTCCACGCCGCAACAGCTTACGCGATCGCCATCTTTATCCGGCGCGCTTCTGTGGATCCGAGCAATCCGGGAAGCGATGGCACGCCGAGCCCGCACGAAGTGGACGAGGAAGTGAGATGGTTCAAGAACAACATTGCAGAGACACTCAGGATTCTGCGCACCTTGGGCACCACAAATCCTACCGCCAAGATCTGCGAAGAGCTTCTCCAGGCTCTTTGCGACTCGCGCGAGGAGCTGGAACTGAGCGTCACTTTCAGCAGAAATGTCGTGCAGCAACATCGCATTGATCGAGAAAGACGACATGCGCAAAAGACTCGCTCCACCCTTCTCTCTACTCATAGCCCATCTTTGACGAGAGGACCCTACAATCTGTGCAGCCTGCTCGCGCCAGTGGAAACCTTGCCAGGCACACAGAATCGACCGCCGTGGTTGTCGCGGTCCTCTGCTGCTACCCGTCTGGAAGCAAGATCCAGCGTTGCTAAAGTGGCAGAAGCTGTCACTGCTCAGCGCAGCACGGACTTCATTGCGGATCTCGCAAGCAACAGCAGACCATTGGGGGAGAGAGGCCGCGCAACGCAAAGAGGCGCCAATCCCCACCACTCGGCAGCATCTTTGATGCCCTCGGCTTCCGCGACAGATGTGCCTGCCAGGCTCACAGCTCGCCGTCTGAGTGCTGCCACGGCAACGAACATAGACCATGCCTCTTGCTCTTCGCCAGCTTCTGAGCAGGGCCCGTCTCTTGAAGTTGTTGGGCAAAGGCCTGCACGGCTCGGCGACCGTGGCAGCGAGCAAAGTAGGAACGTGCCTGCTCGCCCTTCTGAAAGCGCTGCTGCTAATTCCAACGCCAATTCCGGCGAGACGAGCGGTTCGAAGACTACCTCTTCCCTCATCTCTGCCCAAGACTGGTCTAATTGCCCCTGGATCTACCGAGAAGACTTTTGGCACGACCTTGTGCTTGCCAGTTCCAGCCTCGGCGACGCGGACGTTTCGACTGCGCCCAATGCGTGATCTTGGCTTTTCTTACGGCTCGGTTCCGTCATCGTTTCTTCGCCTGTTGTAGCCTCTGCTTCAGTGCGGCATCCCTTTACGATCAAGTCACCTCGGTCAAGCATCTCTGTGTCTCATCGCATCTCATTCGCCCATCGCTGCTAATCTGTGTAATCTATTCTTCCCGGTCAACGTTTGCGGCACGTGACGTGCGCCTCAAGATCATGTGGAAGAGCATTTTCTACAAGTCCAAGATCTTCTTCTCGAGAACCTTGCCCGACTCGTCGATCTTGTACTGTTTGATGCACAGGAGAGTACGAGGACGGGTCAATGATGCCACCCATAGACCAAGACAGCTTGCTTATCGCGCTGGACTCACGACGATGGGAACACCGGTAGCAAGCTCAGTGTTGACGATTTGCTCGCCTGTCATGTTCTCCAGCGACATGATCATAGCGCGCAGAGAGTTTCCGTGACTGCGACGACCCAAAGATGTTGTATTCGAGTGAGCCTTGTATCCTGATCTCGCTCAACGGCAAGCGTAGAGCGGAATGGAGCCCCAAGCGTACTCACGCAGCGACGAGCACCTTCTTGCCGGAGAGCACGGCGGGCTTGATCTCCTTTTCGTAGTATGGTAGTACGCGGTCAGCTGTCAGTTTGAGGGACTCTCCGCCTGGAGGAGGAACATCGAAAGAGCGTCTCCAGATGTGTACCTGAGCGCGAGGTGAGGTGGGACAGAGTGTGAGCAACGTGGAGGGCTGTTGGTGGCTGCTTTTGAATCTGAAAAGCTCCGTTTGGTTGTGGGATGTTCAGCTCAGATGCGAACGCGCACGCGCTTACTCACCTGATCCTCTCCCCACTTCTTTCGAGCATCGTCCTTGTTCAGTCCAGTCAGCTCTCCATAGTCTCTCTCGTTCAGAGCTTGATCCTTCTTCGTGGGAATGCCCTCTTGCTTGATCTCGCCCAGAATGATCTTGAGCGTCTCTTGAGCTCGCGAGAGATCAGATGTGAATGCGAGGCTGCGGTGGAAGATGCGAGCAAAAGGCGTTCGACGTGAGGTCACATGGCGGGGACTCCTCGAAGCGGACGCCCGCGCAGCACATCACCAAGACTCACTCGAAGTCGGTCTGAGAAGCGGCATCGCAAATGACAAGAAGATGGCAAAGATGCGAAATGCGAACGGGCGTGTGTTTGTGTTTGTGTGTGTGAGCAAAGCGAATGTGAACACGAGCCACCTGGTTGGGTTGTGCTCTTGCGCTGGCGCTGCGTGACTCACATAACCGCCCTTGACGAGCTCTTGGCCTCCCTTTGTGGCCTCCTGCTTGCCCAACTCGGTCAGAGCGGGATCTTTCCAGCCGGTGAACAAGTTCAGCTTGTTCCACTCCGATTGACCGTGACGGGTGAGGACCAGAGTTCCGACCTGCAATGTCAATGTGATGGCAAGAGGGAGGGGGGCGCAAGAGCAGGAGTGGTGAGCTTCATCGCATTGCATCCGCGGCTTGACCCACCATTTTGTGCAAGATTGAACGTGAGATGATGATGATGATGATGATGCTTGGATACTTGATCAGGTGAGCAGGTGGTTGATGTGTGTGTGGTGTCGAAGAAAGTCTGAGCGCGAATGATGTTTTCCCCTGCATTCACTTCAAATTGCACCACCATTCGACGGCTAATGAGATTCAAGATTCGCATTCGCAATTCGCAGTTGCTCGCGACTCGATCGTGCTTGAGTCCAGCGCACGGTGCAACTCACACATCTTCGCGGGCAGACTCGGCAACATGCCATATACCCTACAGCAGTGCCAGGCATCAGCAGCTACATGGGCAGGGCAGGGCAGGGCAGGGCAGGGCAGGGCAGGCGAGCGCCGGCGCGTGCATGCAATTCGCGATCGCCTTGCTGCTGCAATAAGCGTTGGGGGAGAGATGTGCTGCACGCGCGTGTTGGGCCACCTCAACGGGTCCATCGTCTCTTCATATACTAGGCACTCACTTACCCCCACGTGGCGCAGTGAAGGTGGAGGGGTCGCAAGCCCTTCGTTCGTCATGCAACTCGATCGTGTCTGCAACTGCAACAGCCTCATCAACACATACAAGTGTTCCGCCTCATCTTGATATGTCGTTCGCACCGCCTTGTGCGCGCCCATTCTCATCTCAGCTCAGTCTAGCGGCACGCTTCGCTAGCTCTCGCTTCCTTTCAACCTTCGACCTGCGCAGCCAAGAAGGCAGGCCGTCAGAAGGGAACGTCCAGCACGGCGTGGGTGAGCCAATTGCAGCATGTACAGCGGTCCCATCCGGTGAGTCACTCGACTGGCATTTCAATGCAGCGCAGTTCCTGCAAGTCTCAAAGCCTGGAACAGGCTCACCGACACACTTGTGCTTTCCAATTCGACTCAGAGGAGGCACTCGAGGAGGGCAGGCAGAATTCACTTGGGATTCGGTACGCACGGACCAGCATCGAGAAAATTATCTGGGCCACAGCGTTCAAGCTCCCACAGGTCGCTGGCAAGCGGGTAGGGATGTCAACTGGTACAATAAGGGTAAGGATAAAGGGAACGATGCATCGGAGGCCGAGGCTAAAGCTGCAGAGCAGAGGAGAGCCGAATTGTCGGAGATCAAGGCGAGGGAGGAGGAGGAGATGAACAAAAGGCTGTGAGTCCGCGCACGGTCGAGCACTGGACGTCTTTGGGATACATTCTTGAAAGTCGAGCTGATCTTCCATTCGCTGCTCACACTCTAGCGGTATCAAAGCGGGAGTTCTTGGCTCGTCGAGCGGACCAGGAGCAGCACTGCTGCGCGGCTCTCGCGATCTAGGCTCCGCCGTAGGTAGCAGCAGCAGCACCGGGGCCAACACTGCGCCTCTGTCATCGGCCTCGAAGTGGGGCAAGACAGGGCCAAGCGCTGCTGCGGAGGAAAAGGAACGCGTCGATGACTTGACGAAAGAGGAGAGAAGTCTGGCCAAGAAGCTGGCCAAGGAAGAAGTTCGGAAAGCGAGGCATGACGAGAAAATTCGGGTGCGGGCCATTCGAGCCGAAAGACGAAGAGCAAGGGAAGAAGAAGAAAGGGACGCAACCCGAGAAGACGCTAGAGCGTTCGATAGACGTAGAGCAGCGCGATCGGACGAAGAAGATGCGCGCGGAGGCGAGAAGGTGCGTCGGGCACGGAGCGGCGGTGAGCAGGGCTCCGGAAGGGGCAATGCTGCTCGCGAGCGAGAGGTGCGGCACAGCCCGAGGCGGCATGAAGAGCGACGCGCAGACTATCGCGAACAGCATCGCCGCGTCCAGAGCCGCAGTCCCGAGCGCGCCAGGAGCAGACTCGTTCGACCACAGAGCGCTCAAAACGAGGCACGCTCCTCGAACGCATTTGACTCGAAGCGCGCTCGCGAAGTCGGCGCTGGTCGGCGTCATTCTCCTCCCGGCGAGTATCACCGCCGGAGCTCAACATCGCGATCTCCACCTCCTCGTTCGCTTGCGCGTCGCTCGTAGTGCTCGCTTCCCTGGACTAAGCTGGAGCACCGCGACTCAGAGACGAACGTGCAGAACCCCACAGCTCACTCGGCACATCTGTCCATCCTCGCATGCCTGTTCGATGCAATTCGCCGCCATCGTTGCCGCGCAATCGCAGGAGTTCGAATACACCTCATGGGCACCGGGAAGGAAGGACGACACGGAGGCAGTCCATTGGCTGACCACCAATTTCATCAATAGAACAATCTTGGCGCACGTCAAGGACGGCAGAGCTTTCTTGGGAACCTTGATCTGTCTCGACCCTCAGCGCAATCTGATCCTTACAGACGCGGAAGAGCTGCGTCTAGCCTCATCAAGTGATGCCTCTGAGCACTTCGACCATGCACCTAAGCTGCGCGAGGCTCCCCAAACGAGATGGGTTGGCATGGTGATGGTACCAGGAAAGAAGATGACCCGATTAGAGGTAGCAACAGGTTCGCCAGCGTCCAGTCATGGTCAACACGCGAACGAGACCCTCAGCGCCGGCTATGGAAGGCAGCCTGCATCGACTCAGCCATTCTCCACCTTTACTTGGCCGAGCGACGAAGACGCTTACATGTAATGTACACCTCTGCGCTTCGTCGCAAGCCGCTCATCGGATCAAGACGTCACTGCAGACCTCACAAAGTGGGTGCAAGGATGAACATTGATTGTATGCAAGAGTGTTAGACAGTGGACGACACTTTGAATCTACTTCAGATTTATGTATACAGCGACGTCCACGATGTGGTCGTCGTGAAGCGGAATGCGATAGACCGTGGCGAAAACAAGACGATTACGAAACATGACGTGCCGAGTGCAGTCGGAGGTATAAACATATCGAGAGGACCTCTTAGAAACGGTATAATGAGAATGCTGATACCAGTGTTGCACCATTCACGCGTCGAGCAGGCTCTCGTCGCAAGTCTTGCTTCCTTCCGCACACATGCGTGAAAGGAGAGGTTGGCCCATTAGTGATCGTAGTCGTGATCGCGTAGAAGGCCATCACTGTCTACGACGCTTGTTGCGTTCGTCGTTGAAGGAGGTATGCTGTGCATAGTTGACGCTGTCCGCTGCCGTGGTGTCCGTCTGACGCCGAGTCCCAGATGAGCTTGGTGCGTAGTAATAAGAATCTCCGCTGATGCTTGCTGGCATGCCGCTCGCTGTCACTGCATGAGAGTACTGGCGGCGCGCTGGTGGAAGAGACGCCGTCTCCGGCTGCTGAAACGAGACGTGAGAGCCGCTAGAGCTTGCTGTCTGCATATAGTCTTGTGCCGGCGTCTGCAGACCAGGAGTCGAGGCGATGCCTGTGCCATAGATTGGCGCTGGCGCGGGAACATCGCTGGTGACGCGGACGCCGGACGTTGAGGGGTGACATTTGGCGCTGTGCTTGAACCAGCCGCTGAAGTCGCGCTTGCGCTTGGCCGTACATATTTGAACCCACTTGTGACAGTGATGACACAGTCCTTCTGTAGTGCCGACAGCATCAGCGTAGCACTTTAGCTTCAGTGGCGGCAGGAAGATGAGACCAGAGGTGGGGCTAATGCCATGCGTCCCTCGCACGTGGTACCAGTACTGGCTGTTCTTGAGCTGCATCCATCCTCCCTCTTCACACTTGTCACACCATGCTTCTCTGGAATTGCCTGTCCCGCGGACCCAAGCTGGAGTGTACAAGTCGCCTCTGAATCGAAGTTTGTCGGACTGGTTGCGAGGAAGAGCCTCTTCTTGCTGGTCAGCAGCAACGTCAAAGTCTGAATTAGGTGGCTGTAGTGCAGTGTTTGGCAGACCTTGACGGGAAGGATAAAGGACATCGCCTGCCAGCGAATTTGGAAGGGCGCGGAGGACAATGTCTTCGGTTTCGAAGGAGGGCGCAAAAGACGGAGGTGGCGTTCCCATGCGGGTGTTAGTATTTGAGAGTAGTGCTGGCGAACTCGAGCTGTGAGGCATGGAGTGGCTTTGACTCGCCGTCGATGAGTCACGCAGTGATGTGTATGTGTCTGCTCGTTGCAAACCGGCAAGAGGACGACGAGAGGCTTCAGCGGCCCGATGAGAAGACCCGGCGTCTGCTTGACCGTACGTCTGCGCCTGGCGAGCCTGAATCGCAGCAGGTGAGGCGTACGCCCCACCGCGAGCCTGTTGAGCATAGGCGGCTGAACGGAAAGGGTTCTGCGTACCAGGCATGCTCTCTACGCGCAAAGATCTTTGTGGTGTGTCGTAGCTTAAAGCTTGATTGGCCGTGAAGGCGTCTCGGTCCAGAGGCTCCCAGAAGCCAGGATCCGCCGCGCCTGACATCACGTTGTAGCCGTAACTTCCGGCATGAGTCGAGGCACGAATGCGGGCTTGCCTTTGAATGTCGAACTCGTCCGGTCTCTCATCCCAGCTCAAGGGAGTGGACACACCACCGCTGCGCGAGGAACCGGCTACGAGTGCTGGGGTAGAGCGCCCGGTCGAAGCTGATGGCAAAGCAGAGGGGGCCGCATTTGGCATGCTTGACGCGATCGTCGCTGCCCCAGCGAAGAACGATGCTGTCGCAGGGCTGCTGGGTGCATAGTGCTCCAAAGCTAGTTGGGGAGGACCCACGTTTTGCTCGCAAGACCTCAAGAAAGCCCCGAAATGTGCTCCGTAATCTGCTGAGCCTGACAAATTGGCTGATCCGCCAGCAGGGATGGATCTCCTGGCTGGGAGCGGCGCGATAGGGTTGCTCGTCAAGCCAGTCGGCTCCGCATGAGGCTGTGTAGTGGCAGTGGGAGCCAGAGCAGCAGTCGCAATGGCCGTGGGCCTCGAACGCCTCCTTCCTTCAAAGCTAGATGACTCGCCTAGACCTGACGAGGTCGGGTGGGCTGTCTCAGGGTCTTCTTGATACCACCCGTCGTGAGGCTGGGGCTGGAAAGAATATTGCCCTGCAGCCTCGCTTGATGGAGGATTTCGAGTCAGCTCGCCATGTTCGTACGGGTCATTCGTGCTCCGCAGGTTCCCTATGACTGTGGCTCGCCGCAACGCAGGATTTGAAGGAGAAATTCCAGAGAGCCAAGGGGTCTGAGCAGCGCCTTGCTGCCACCAATTCGACGCAAGCGATTCAAGCGTGCTTGGCGCATTTCCGTTGGCTTCAGTAGCAAAATTTGCAGAATGTGAAGCACGCGCTTCGCGCTCGCGCGACGGTCGTCGAGCAGCTTCAGCGACTTTGAAGGTAAGACGGCAGGTTAGGAGTCAGAACGTCGATCTAAACACCTGTCTGGCAAAGACTTACGGAGGTTGTCATCTTGTGCCAGAGCGACCGAGGACGTCAGGTCGGCGGCCTCCGCACCGTGACTCGGAGCCTCTGAGTCCGACTGGCCCGGTACTCGTGCGTCGAACCAATTGCTTTCCGGATCGCTTGCACCTCTCGCACGGCTGGCTGGCGCCTTTGGAGCTTCGCTCGAGCCAGTGTCTGCGATTCTGCGATACCTGCCGGTCATAGCGCTCGTGATCTCAGCGGTGATCCAAGGCGTGTACTCTGTGCCCATGGCTGCATTGGTGCTGAAGTCTTCTATGGCAGTGTCTTCAAGCTTGCGTTTGCGCTGTTCGGTCGCCGTCCTTAGATCGGCGAAGGTTGGGGCGTATGGCGCTCTGTACGAGGACGCTTCCTTGTCGCGATCCATTTCTGAGGGCTGTGAGGTCAACAAGCCAGACCTTTGATCGGGTAGAGTTGCTTGGCCTGCAGAGGGTGCTTGCTCACCCTCCGCAGCAGCCGTCTCGTGGACGCTTGCGTTGGCGGGCAGGTTTGAGGGGGATTCGAGAGGGACAGACGAGCGGCGACGATCCGTCTCCGCAAATGTTCCCTCTTCAGCCTCAGAGCTCGCACCGTCAAAGTTGAAGAAAGCCATCGTTTTGGACACACCTGACGCTGATGCGCCGCTCAGCGGCTCCGAGCTTGCACGAGCTGGCATCGCGGTGTCAAGCCTGAGACTCGGTACGTTGATCGTGGTGTGGGTCAGTGCTCCAAATGAAGATTGCCAAGGAGACGGCGTTGGTGACGGAGACGAGACTTGTATGTGAGGTCGAGAGCTAGAAGAGCTATGACTGGATTTCGGAGCTGAGGACAGCTGCGTCTGGCTACGGTTGGAGGTATGTTCGCCAAAGTGCCATGGCGCGGACGACCGTGGATTGTCAAGGCAAAATACCATGGAGTCGCGGCCCCCAGCCTGCTCTAATTGAAGCGTGTGAAATGGTGTTGGCATGGTGTCGGAAGAGTGGGCACAATCTTCCAGACAAGCGTGGCTGAGCTTCACGTGCTCTGACAGACTCGAAGAGGCTTCACACGCGCCTCCATGAAGAAGATAGCGTGTTTGTGAGTCTTGTTGCGATCCAAGCGGGAGCAGACGCGAAGCTGAGTGGCGATCTCGAGCTCCGGGTCCTTGCGCGCCCTGACCGGCCTGCAAGGCAGTCACAATGTCGTCTTCATTGAGGGGAGCGGAGGCAAGAGCAGCGTTCAGGATTTTGACGCCGTGACATTTATCCTCGCCCGATGCGTAGGCGTCTAGAGTCGGGCCGGGCTGGCGTGGTTGTGTCTGCCGATCCGCGGTAGAAAAGAAATCCTCAGCATAGCCAATAGCGTCACTGCTCGCACTGTTGGGTGTCGAAGAAGTGCTGCCAGACCGCGCGGAGGAAGTACTTGACGACTCGGAGGAGAAGGAGGACAAGCGAAGGCCGGTGAAAGCTCCGGTGCTCGAAGACATTTTCCGTTGCTTGACGACTCCGCCGTGCAAGACGATGACTGACCGATTTCGAGAAGTCGCGATTGTACAAAGAGACCGCGGCGGAGCTTTTACTTGGCTAGTGCTGAATGTGTGAGGTCGAAGCGCGCATGTGAAGACCGAGATCGTGTGGCTTGTTGATTTCAGCAAGGATAGAATCTATGGTGATTGCTCAGTTCCGGTGTATGAGGGAGCGCAGACGTGGCTTGATTGTTGAGAGAGAAAGGTTCGAAACTTCTGACCTGGGGCCGAGGAGGGGCAGTTCAAGTATGAACTCGGCTGCCGCAATCATACGGTTCTCTAGCCCAGATCAACCGTGTGGTGCAGGCGATCAGCTGGTCTACGACTCACACTCCTAGAGTGGGGATGAGGTTCGGAGTGGCGAGCGACATGCAGGTGGAATGCCACCAGGGCCCGTTCCGACAAGGGTCTTGAGGTGCTTTCGAGACTTCTCAATGGGAGAATCGCGTGGGTGCTGGAGTGACCCGGCCGAAGAGGCACGGATGATCTGGGTGTATAGCCGAAAGACGCGGCGCTAGCGTGGAGGAACGAGTGCTCTGGCAGGGCGGATCGGCGCGAGCGGACAAGTAACGACGAAGGGCGAGATCAGTGTGAAGGGAAGGACCTCGTCCGAGGAGTCAGAAGAGTGACACCATCAGCTTGGAAAGCCAAGCGAAAGCGGTGCAGCACGGCGCTAGGTCCTCCGAACAAACCCACGAAAGTTGCGAGTCTCTCGGAGGCACCACAGCTATAGAAGTGACCATGCTGGTACAGCATGGTATGCGCGTGACCGCGTGTCTTCAGCCCGGCGCAAGGGCCGAAACACTGAGTGACTCTTCTGACTGTTTGCTGCGCAGCGTCAGCCGAGCCGAATCAATCTATAATAACATGTACGAAGTATGTACAGTAATCGAACCCACCGAGTCATCTGTGATGACCACGCGCCGGCCTAGTCCATCGGTCCGAACGCGTGCTCGTGGAAGCAAGGCGTGGGCGCTGATTGTCTGTAGATCCTGCATCGCACGTACACGCACTCGTGCCATTCTCCCATGGAGGCTGCAACGGGACAACTCCCAAAGGCTGGGTCGGCGGATGGGCTGGGAGGACGTCTGTGGGAACAGCTGATCGGGTGCCAAAAGCAAGAGCGTGTGAGGAACGGCAGGTCGGGGCGTAAGCGACCGCACCCAAATGCAGCCGCATCAGGAGCAGCTGGCCACCTCGTACACTAAGCTGAACCGCGGACTTCCTTGGGGCTTTAGCCTGGAGAGGACACATGAAGAGCCTGCGGACTTACTTCGTCGAACCTCGGCGCCGTTTGTTCACCGACACCGCATGACCGATAGAAAGCAATAAGAGAGTCTGCCAGGCACGGATCGGAGAGGATATACAGCACAAGGACTATAAGAGAGGCGCGTCTCATCGAGAATTGGAGCTGCCGTCAGAGCAGTGTTTGACTCTCGTACACTCTTGATTGTTAGCGGCACTTATGGATGCATGCAAGCCCAGTCGCACGTGCATATGTTGCCCTCACCCCAAATGGCGGCGCATGCCCCGTCGGCTCTTCGGCGCTATCGCGAGCGTAACGCGCAGCAGGTGAAGTCTCATCAGTCAGCAAGTGGCGTCATACATTTGTTGCTCTGCTTCGATTCGCGCTGACAGCTATAGCGACGCTGCAGCCTCAACGCAACGGTCACGAGCCGTGAATGATCCAAGAGTCGTTGAGTCATGAAGGCTGGCCCAGCAGCTGCACGCTTTCGACATGGCCGCGAAGAGCTTTGAGAGGTCGAAAGCATCCGCGTGATCCATCCAGCAATCACGTGAATCCATTGACCACTTCGCCGCGGTGGCTCAAAGTGCACGCCACCACACAGCGGAGAGGGGTCTACAGCAGCGCAGCACTCATTTGTTTGATTGGGGTCGCTTTCGCTGCCCAGGACTAAGCTTTGCATGTCGACAGGGAAGCTAGCTTGCGTGCGCTCACTTCATTCGAACCCACTCTCGGCTTTCAGAGCCGCCTACGCAACTTGAGTGCCACGTCTAATCCGCAAGACATTATTACTGCCCATTTCTGACGAGGAGTCACGAGTCACGATGCCTCGTCTTTACTCATACCGCAGATTCGGGATGTTGTGGCTGGATGTTCGGCTATGCTTCCGTGCTCCGACGTTGTCCCGAGATAAGGCTCATCAGTCTTCAGTGGTAAATACATAGCTTCAAGTCAAAAGGCGCCGATTCGTGACTCGATGGCGAAGCTTTGACTTGCTTGATTCCTTTCATTCTTTGAATGATTGTTCTATTCGCCATTCAAGATCGATTATGTTGCGTGAGTGTTGTAGTGCGCTTGATGGTTGGGCTCTGCGTCCCTCGCATGTACGCTGCTTGCTGCTTGAATTTCTGCTTCGCAACAAACCCAAGAACTCAAATTCAGCCCCGCCGTCACCCGATCGATCTCGATCGATGCATGGGAAGCAGGCTCTGCATGCGCGAAGCGCATGCACACTCATCAGACTTCACGACTGCATTATATTGTTGCTGCGCGTTGCCCCCGCCGTGCGCGTGAAACAGTCGCACCATGCCAATGGCAATTATATGTATATACAGAAGAGTAGGGCATGAAGCTGTATAAAGCAAACTCCGAGGGAGTCGGCTCCGGTCTCAGATCATCACGAATGCTGCAGGCACTGCATCTGTCAGGCTGGCACTCATGGGGTGTCCTTCTTCGGAATGCGGATGTGCGAAAGGTGCCATCACTTATACTCACTTTTGCGTCAACAGCTAGTTCAGACAGGTCTACAGGATGTAGTCACGATCGGGTAAGGCTCGACGGATCATCAAAGCCGTCAGTAAGGTGAGAACCTTATCGTGTGACTGTGCTCTTTCTAAGGCGTACATCCATATCCATCGTCTCCACCCCGCAGCCCAGAATGCGATCTCGATCGCAGCCCCGACTATTACCTGCAGCGGCTGCTGACATGGCAGACCTCGGAACTCAGCAGTCGCGCGCAGGAGGCACCAAAGTGCCTTGTCCAGCTGATGACGGGTCTGCATCGCTGCGTGCAGGCGGCTTGGTTGCGTCAGCCACAGGCCAGCGGAGAACACGGAAAAGCATCCGCGCGCTATCCTGTAAAATTCACGATTGTGTAGGCACACCAAGCAGCCACCCTCACATCTACACAACTATTGATGTTATCCACTGCGACTCGCAAATTGGTTTACGACGCTTCCACTCGTGACTGCTACCTGCCACTGTCGATGGCCAGCATGGTGACCAGCCCCCATCTCCACCAATCGGACTCTTTCCCACCCGCGGTCTTGAAGCTGCAGGCTATTGCTAATTAATGAATCGAACGTGCACATAAGACGCCATTATGTATAGCCCCATATGCTCTTCTCGGTGAAGGCCAACTTTGTCTCGGCGGCGAGCTAAGCGCTCCAAGCAACGGCACCCGCCAATCGGCATTCGGTCATCGCGTAAACAAATAAGCGAAACGTGAATCCACGAATGACATCTTGAATCGTGAAACAGAATAGCACCTGCGGCCACAAGACACTCGTAACTCGGATTCGAGACTATGAGATATGTACCCCAACCATCGTGCATAAGAACGAGCCCGACTGTGGCGCGAAGTCCTCGGGAGTTCACCTTACTTCGCAGTCGTCGCACCATCAATGATTGGATGTGTGACAGCTAGGACAGTCGCAAGACACTTAATTAGTTGGTTCTTGCCTGCCCAATCTTTCGCCCACTCGGCGCTGCTCAGCATTTTTGCCGTTGGGTCAGCCTCATGCATGGGACGAGGCTCATCTTGCATCTGCTGCCCGCGGATTTGCGCGCGGTGGATGTTCCTGCGGCGCACAGTCACGACTGAGTAGGTGCGCTGTGCGGTCGCTCCAACACGATTTGAATCAAATGTGAATCTTGAATCAAGAACGTGAATGGAAGAAGTCGTGACTCGAGGCCCTCAAATGATCGAGGGGGTGCAGTCGAGCGCGCTGAGCTGAGATGAGCACGACTGCGAATCTCCGTCGATCCGTCGAAGCTTGTCGGGCACACACAGTCATCGTCATCATGAAAGAGTCTTTCGTCAAAAAAGTGACCTCAGTGACAGCTTTGTAATCTTTAAATGTTGCAATGATGCGATTAGAAAAGCTGACAAGTCATGTGCTGCCCTTAAATCAAAAATCGAAACTCAGCAGCGCGAGCCAGATCGCTGAGCTCTTTGCCAAGCAGCTGCTTCCATCACGTGTTTTCAAGCTGGAGGATCACGGATGCATCGGACGCTACTGAGAGCACGACTCACGAGTCTTTCATGCAGTGAGACTCGTGACTATTATGCCATCACCAAGCCGTGCACGATAGAGCTCGACTCGTTTTATCGCCGTCGTGGCTTGCGCCGTCGTGAATAAGTGTCCGAAGTCATCCGATGGCCGCCCGCCCAGCCGCGCGGCACGACTGACTCGCAAGCCAACGCAAGCGACCTACGTATTATGCCGAGGTAAGGTGGCCGATTATAGCCTTCCGAAAGTTGGCTCTGAAACGTCGAATTCGGCATCCCGCTTGACTTCTGCTCTCTCGAGCCAGCTAAAGGGCGTTGCACACGTTCTCCAGTCGTGAGTACAGTCAAAGCCGTATCGCAGCTTGAGGCAGGCGAAAGAAGAGCATGCAGAGAATTCGCCTTACAAGTGTTCGCTGTGCCCGCAACGATCGAGGTGAACGAGCAGTCAGAAGTGTCTGCGCCCTCCTTCGTGATTCTGGCGGCCTCGGCTGGGTAATTTTCCAAGCTTGCTGCTGGTGTCTGGGCCCTCATGTCGGCTTGGGTAAACTTCCCGACTTGCTCAATCGGCGTACCGTGTCATTTCGGCTTGTTGACCGCGTAATCTTCAATCTGAGTCACTCCCGGGTGAACCTGAATCAAACATGTGTGCGCGAGCGGCACCAAGAATTTCGAATGTGAATCGTGGATGATTCACGATTCGTGATTACCGCACTAATTTGAGTCGCCCGCTTTGGGGCCGAGGTTGTGCACGCGTCTCGCTTAATCGTAAGCGGTCCAATCGACGGCTCAGCTGACACGCTGTACTCTCTCGTGCCTCTGCTGTGACTACCGGTCCTCGAAACTCACGTCGACTGCATGCTGACCCGCACGTCCACTCTCCTAGGCGCTTGTCCACATTCCCACTCGTGATTCTACTCTTCTACTCGAGACTCAAGCGGCCCAGAGCTGATCGAGGGCAGTAAGCCTCACGAGCAAACTCCGCCTAGACGCACAGCTCCACTCAGGACTGTGACTCTTGAACGTGACTCGAATTCGGTAGCTGGAATGGCAGCCATACGAGTCACGTGCCGGCCTCCATGGTCTCGGGCGCCGATTCATGCTCATTCGTCACGGCAGTCAGAAGAGTACTTGATCTAGCAAATAAATCCGAAGCGTCATGTAGGAACCTCCCTCCACTCGTCTGTCTGTCCACCGCACTCGGATCCTCTCGCCGGCAACTTGTGCGAGCTGCTACCGAGGCTAGGCATCCTGATCCACTCTTGACTTATGACTCTTGAGTCCACCACTTCCGACTGCTCAGGGCAATTCATCAGCCGCACACGAGGCTCGTCCGGAAGCGCCTATGCTGGAAAGGTTGATGTGTGGCTATTTCACAGCGACAACGCACTATAGACTAGGCGAAGTGAGGTGTGTGGTGACTCACATTGGCGTGGATGCGTGGCTGTAGCCAGCGCCAAGTACAGTAGCGGACCTGCTTGCACCACTCCCGCTCGAGAGCATACTCAGCTTCTTGGCGTCTGAGAATAAGAACCTCCCTCACGTACAGTGGGCGGAAGATCGAGGAAAGTCTGCTCAGGACGCTTACGCACATTAGCCAAGGGAAGCTGTGCTCGATGCATTCCGAAGCATCCTTGGATGGCTCAGGCGAGGCCTGACTAGTAGGCGAACCCCGTTGTGGATGTACTCACTGTCGGAGGCTTATACGCCGAGACGCTGCAGCAGGGTCTGGATCTGGATGGCTGTGGATTCCCCTCGACCCTTGAAGCTAAGACGAGGATGAAATGGAAGAGCGCGGGAGCAAGCTCCAGCCCGCTGGCCATAGTTACCAGGCTCACAACGACGTCGCACGCCGCTAGCCAAGGGTTAGGGAGGCATCTGGCCAGCGATTGATCGGAATTGTTGTCCACGCTGCCATCCGACAAGAAGCGTCACGCTCTTTGTCCAGTGCCCGACAACGAGCATGCTCGAAGGCTTCTTTCGCCAGGGCCAGCTTTCGAGGCAGACTGAAGACGCCCTGGCTATAACTTCTAAGCTTTTCGATTGTTCTCTTTGCCGCTCGAGTCCAGGTGCGATGAGTAGCGCGCAACAACGTGCCGAGCCGTTGGGAAGGGAAGCGAATCAGGGCCGTCGAACGTAGAGGGACTGCAGCGTCACCTGCCTCATAAAGTCAGAATAGAACAGCAGAATCTGCGTGACCGACATTGGCAGCGTTGGGTTGAGTCCGGGGCCAGCGAACGTGTAGCCCTAAAGCACAGCCGTCCATCGGCTGCTCAAGAACGAATAGGATGATGACCATCGCAGTTGCTCCATCGTCTCCGTGTCACGGTCGGCGCGTCTCTTGCTCTGGCGGACCCGGCACTCTGCAGTGCATCATGCGGCGCTCTCCCACTGGTGGTGCTGAACCTGAGCGAGAAGATGAGAGTAGGAGTGATCGCCTTTTCTGCTTTCCAGCCGGCATAACGAGGCTAGCGATTAAGATACTGTGTCCAACTCCATGAGGCACCTACAGAAGTGGACTCCTAGTGGGGCTTCGCGAGACTTTCTCTCGCGACAAAGGGATGAGGATGCGTGCGGTGTGTAGAGCTTCCTGAGATGGAAGGTGCGGCGCGAGCTGCCTAAGTCACATCCCGCACTGAAGGAATGCCACGAAGTCTCCTCTGCTTGTTCCTAGTCAACTTAAACGCCATTGCCAGATTTCGGCAGTGCCTTGGAACTGATCGCGCCATCGATTCGACACTTCTTGCAAGCTTCTCAGCACCCGACGGACCGTCAGATTGTGGCTGTCGTGACGAGAGTGACTGCTGGCAAGGAAACACGACTGCACGGCTTGAGACGTCGACTGTGGGCGAACTGTGCTCACATACCGTGCTTGACCCAGATCTAGGCCCACGACCCTATCAGGGAAGCTTCGACATAGAGAATTTTGGTGTAGCTGACAATGGCGTAAGACGTAAGCATTGCTTGCCACCACGAGAAGACTCCATGGTCCGTGAGCATTACTTGACAGGGCAGGAATCTTTTAGAGGGATAGTGAAGCCATCACGTGGGTGCCGGGGCCACAAGGGTCCGCTCCTCGTCTGATAGCTGGCTTGAAGGAGTGCACTTGTTGTAAAGACACGATCACGAATCGTGAAGAGGACAGCAGCATCATCGCGCTCAGGCCGCTCTTGGATACATCCGCCGACGATCATGGAAATGCAGTGATTCGATCAGGACACTTGTTGTGATTGTAGTCTTGATGCGTTCGACCACGACTGACGACTGACTTGCCAATTCACCTCGATTCGCCTCCATATAACTTGCTGCCCAGAGTATACCACGGCTAGGAGCCGTGGATGCCGTGGGTGCCAAGACCACCAGCCCGCAAGCGTGGCGCTGAGTTCATGCACACACACAGCACGCGCTTGATCGCCGAACTCACGACTATCGCGACTTCAGGCTTTCTTGCGCGCACGCAGATCCATCCGACTTGAGCTCCATCTTGGTGCAGGACGACGCAAAGCGGCGAGCGCCAGGTGCACACTCACTTGCTGACATTCGTCATTCACGTGATTGACCATGCAGCAGCAGTCAAGGGTCGGGAATGGGGAGCGAGCGAGCTGTGCTACGCAGACCTTCATTTGAAACCCTTTAAGCACCGCGATGCCTAAATATCCACGCGATCGAGTCAGCGGAACTCCGCGTCCGGCGGCTGCCTCCACACAGCCATGCATGACTGAAGCACCGAGCAAAGCAACTCTCATGAACGCCGCGCGCATGACATGTATGATTTGGATTCTCGAAGCTTGGCTCGGCGGAATGACACTTGTGCAGACTACACTCGCGATTCCATCGGCCCATATTCTTGATTGCGGTGTCTTAGCTCCTGTCACACCTGTCAAGGGCCTACACTGCGTCCAGCAATCACCATGACTAAAGCTACATCACCAGCGCCAGCGCCCTCATGACGTAACTGCGGCGCGTCGGCGCTCGGACCTTCATGAGCAGGCAGAGGCAAAAAGTCGGGTGCTCTAATTCCCGCGGTGCCCTGCTAAGCTTTGATCGTCGTCTTGTCGTTCGTCGCGCAGCAGCAACGGCATCCAGGCCAATTTGACACTTGTACGCCCCCGAAAGAGGACCTCATTCCCTGCGCGCGGAGCAGATCAAGCCGGAGTCTCGGCGAATTGATGCAAGCTAGGCGTGAGCTGCAATCAAAACCTTAGCCTCGAAAGATCACCATGTCAAGTGGCTTGGCGCTGCTGGGGATTGGCGCAAAGGATCCGCACCAAGGTGAGCTTGCCTGGCTGTTCTGGGAGCGCGGTTGAAAGGGCTGGGTGGAGCGAGGATGAATATAGCGAATGAATCGTCACCTCGAAAGGTATAAAAAGGGGACCATTGTTCAGCCAGAGGTCCAACTTCCTTCAGCAACATTACCAGCGCTTCTTGCAAATTCACTCATCACTTGAACATCGCGCAACACAGTTTCGCCACACCCACCCGCAAACGTTCCAGATCAGTCAAAATGCGTTTCTCAAGTGCAGCTGCCATCGTGCTCGGCCTCGCTCCTTTCGCGCTGGCATCTCCGACGCCCGCGGAGCCAGCTCGAGCTAGAGACGGGCCTAGCAACGATTGCAAGTTGGGCGGGGCTGGCGGCATCCAGTCTCCTGCGTTCAACGAAGAAGTTGCACCTTCGGATCAGGTGAGATGTCATACGGCCGATGACTCGTGAGCTACGGGCTTACTCAAGGCTGCATGCCTTGAATTTTGCAGGGCTTCAAGATGGTGTTTTGTTCAGGAGAGTACTTCAAGACCTCCACCCAGGTGAGCAACGACTCCGCGATCGTGGTGTCAGAAGGGGCAGCAAAGTCAAGTCTCCATCTGACCAATACTGACTTGGCGGCCTGCTCAGTCGATTGATGTGATCATGCTGAACAACGCCAGCGAAGGAGGAAGCGGCTTCACCATTGCCAAGGATCTGAAGCCCACAACCGCTTCAGGCTACGATGCAACGCTCTACTTCAGCCCCGATGCCTACTCTGGGCCGGAGTCCAAGGACTGGACTCTGCTGGTGTACGAGCGCCACACTTCATACGTAAGTTGGCTGATTTGCTGCTTGGCTGCGCCGAGGTCGGCTAGCATGACCTAACGTCTTTGGCATTTCCTTGTCGATGTGCGCAGGGATCGTCAAACGACACATTCACCGCGTACTCTCAGCACGTTACTGTTGGCTGAGATGCTTCTCTTGATAAGCAGCCGACGTCCACGCTTGTCCGCTTTGGGTCAAGCACTTCCGTGATGAATCCTCTCACGTGGCAAAGATCGTCAATCTCAAATGTAGCACATTCCCTCCACTCCCAACAACGGACTTTCCCCTACCTGCAACGGACCTTCCACTACCTACAATGGACTTTCGCAATCTCGGTGCTCCCTGCCAATCCCGTTCGCTCCCACAGCGTCCATGTATCCTACTGTTGCGGTTGCATGGCCGAGCCAAGCATTGTCGATGCTTCATCACATACCTTTGAGGTCGAGACGAGGTCTGGCAGCATGCAGATCTCATCAGGCCGCGCCTCGGTGTGGTTGACCATTGATGGGAAGAAAGCTCTTGGTCGGAACGATTGGATATGATAGCAGCGCTTTCTTGGAGTAGTCGGAATTTTGCATGCAACCCCGCGTGTGTGTGTGCCTTGGAAGACACGCCAGACGCAACAGCACATCAGCACAACGGCACAACAGTCGCGGATCTTGGATTGCCCACACACTCTTGACTCGCACTCGTGACTCTTGACTTCGACTCGTGGCTCTGACTCATCAAGCACACGTGAAGACGCACGACTGCAGAGCACAGAGTCGCGAGGCAAGCGCTGCTCACGCTGTCGACGTCATCGCCAGTCACTTACAGGTCGGTGCGTCTGCGAGTCGCGGTGGTAAGGTGGGGCGTATAGCCGTGCAGCAGAGCTTGATCAGCGATCGAGCTGCACCCGGCAGCACCGCTTCGACGGCTGCTGCTGAATGGATGCATATATGATGTGGAGGGTCGCAACGGCTTGATCCCGCGTATCGCGTGCACTGCCTGCACCATACACATCTGCTGCCTGCTGCTGCCAGCCGCTCCATCGGCTTCGTGTAGGCGTGTCAGCAGCGACTTCAACCAGCTAGGGCTCCCAACTAAAGTCTCCCAGTGATCGACTCTCACTTCTCTCACAAAGACGCATCAAGCCATCCAACATCACTCGAAGCAAAGCGCGATTCTCTACAAGTCAAAATGTCGACGATCGGAGCCAACGCAGCTGATTCGAGGCAAGAGCCAGAAGGCGTGATTCGACCGGACGCGGAGGGCAACGCCACTCTGCAAGATTCTTCCATTCATCAGACTTCTGGCACAGCTGCTGGAGGAGCAGCGGGTCTTTCTGCTTCGGCTGCCAACGATCCAGACGTGCCCGCTTCCGCAAAAGACGCCTCCATCTATGGCACAATCCCGGGAGAGGGAGTGGGATTCAAGGAGCAGGTGCAAGGTGAGTCTGCTAGTTCTTCTGCTCCCCCCCCC